ATGCGTATTTTTTTTTTTATTTTACTGCGACATTAACGCAACGTCGACTATCAAACTGCCATATTTTAATTTAGCAATATATTTACATACAGTGTAATACACATTTGTATTTTATATTGATTATTTATTTATCCATAGCAAGGGACTAATAAAGTAATATATTTACCGCTTTGGAATAATAGCTCTAATTAATTTATTAATAATATTTTTAATCTTGATACTTATATCAATGTTTGTCACATTGATTCCACCATAAAATGGATTTAAACGTACAACAAAATGGAGGAAGGAAATGATAGAAATAAAATAGCATATTTGCTATTTTAAACCATTCTCATCATCTTCCTACCTTTATCCCAACTATTTGGGGTCGACGTAATGTTTTTATTTATATTACACAAGGTTTCGGTTTTTGGTTTCACAACAGGCCACCTGCCTGATGTAAGCGCTTCTTGTGAAAACATTAGTTGGTGGTATCCGCCACCTGTGACTTGACATTCTAAATATCATAAAAATAATTTAAACATCCGAGACTTTGTATGAATACTAAATAATCTTGACATTGTTATCGAGACGAAGGTACCAAGTAAATTCTCTATCTACTCCTAATTTCGACACTATATATGGATTTTTAAATATATCTAAGATAGTGATGATTTTATTATTACATTAGGATTCACGCATGACCTCATTTTTACTTAATGGGAAGCGATAATGAGGTCAAAGATCGAGCTCGCATCCCATAAACAATCTATTTACTTTATCCTTAATTAGGTTCACAGTACATAATACATAGTATATTACAGTGTATAGAGTAGGTATACAGATTATGGTATACTGTTCTAATAAAAACAGAGACCTAATCTTTGTTTGTAGAAAAAAAATACCTTTAACCATATTCTCGAGGAATGAAAACATTAAGCGTTCTTTTTCAATTTTACTCCAGAGGATTTTAAAAGTAGCTTTGTAATTAATAAATTCGTAGAAAAACATCGTGAAAACATTGATATTTTCATTAAAATACCAATTTTAATATCAATTTGTTTTTATTTGTCCAAAATAAAGAAATTATTGTTACAAACATTATTTCATTAATAATTATTCATAAATAATTTCACTATTATTCCAAAGCGTGATACGAACATGTTAATTTTGCCTGGGCGTGGTTTAGCACAGTTCTGTCTTTACAAATTGAGACTTTCAAGATGCCGCATCGAAATACAAACAAAATTAGGCCTCAATGAATTGTTCAATCAATCCTCAAAATAAAAATATGACATGACAAATGTTAGTTTCTTTATTATGATCAAATTTAATCTTGAAAGTCGATTATAAAAATTGTTGGATAGCCCCGTTTGTGAAGATTACAAATTTATATTATAATAAATATATATGTATATGTATAAACGAATACATGAGACGACCATAGACTAATTAATTTTTATTAATATGATCTTTACCTGTGAAATTGTCAATTTGATCAGGGTTTTTTTTTAATGGCTGAAAATGAAATGGTCACCCCGCTTGCGCTAACGGGATACGCTGGCGGAGCACCAATGAAGGGTGATCGATGAGAATGAAAACAGATCAGTTAGCCCATCATGATGAATTCATCAGGAATTAACCATGATAGTTTCCAGGGGGAACCGCGAGGAGGTCGACCTGGTTGGGTATATTGCTAGCAATTGGATTCTTAGTCTCCATTACAAACAATCCCTTTCCCCCTTTTAGGGATTATTAAAAGAATATTTTTTATGAAATAATCGACAATAGATAAATTGTCAGGGCTGTTTTTCGTTTGATCTTATACCTTCGTAGTTTAAAAATTTTAATGAATGTTTCTTATGAACATAAAATATAATTGCTTTAGATACATTTCTATGTAGCGAAATACAGACAATTCGATATTCGAATTCAATTAAATAAACAAAATATGCACTAAACGAGTCCTTGAAATTTGATATTTATTTTAGTTTATTTATACAAACTTTATTTCATTAGAAAAAAAAAAACAAATAAGAAATATAGCATATGTTTATGTCGAAATAGTATAAATGGTGGTCCTATCCTATCGTTAACCAATCTCTTCCAGAGAACTTTCAGTTTATTTTTTGTTAAAGCCTTTTTTTATATATTTGGCTGTATGTTATTCGGTCGACCATGAAATGAACCTTATTCGTAATATCAAGATGAAATATGTTGAAACTAATAAGATCAAACTTGACGTTTACTTAATACTAGTGACTCGCTCCGGCTTCACACGAGTGCAATGTAGAAACAATGCGATGTCAATGTGGAGTGATTAATAATATTACTATGGTATCCGTCTACATAGCTTTTCAAACTCCACATAATTTGTATAAACTTTTTTGACTTTTTAGTTCGGTCACGTGAACGAAGTCACGGGTAAAAGCTAATATTATATAAAATATACGTTTAAGGCAAAATGATATCTATTGACAACTTCACAGGTAAAAATTTAATATTTTGACGTGATCCCTATTAAAAAAGAAATAACATCAAAACAGTATTACGGTATAGTATTACTCGAAGTAATGAATCATATTTTTATGTATATATTTATTTATATATTACATTTTTTTATATATATAAATAACCTCCGCACGAGTGCGGGCGTGATGGTTTAGCAATACCTCAACAAAGAGCATAAATAAAAACGTAAAAATAAAAATAGTTGATTTATTAGAAATATTATGAAACTAAATGTATATATAAGCAGATTGACTTTATTTATGACAGATACCATTAAACTGTGTCATTATTCCATTATTGGAGCAATTTGACAGTTTCACAACTTTATCTTTAGGAAGTTAGTCAGCAAAAATATATTGCAGTGCTATTTAAAAATCGATGGAAGGACTCGGTGGCACGCAATCCTGACCGCGCACTATCTTTTTGTAACAATTAATATAATGAATATGTGGCAACCGTTTTATTGCTGTACACGTTTATTTTTATAAATAATGAAGCGTTGAAATATCTTTATAAATTATTCTTTTAAATGGCTTGATATTTTTTTTATATTTATTTTGTGTTTAGAACGTTCATAAATATAGCTTATCGAAGTAACGCAAAGTCGCAATTACCCGTCAATTTTCATAAACGATTGTACATTATTCAGTGTTTTTGAATGATTATTTAAAAAGTATTCTGTTAGCGAAATAAAATATTAATTATAGAATACGTTGCATATAAATTTACCATTAAAAACTACACATCTAATTGATATTTTGCTTTCGAAACTTTCAAATACATTTTTGCCATCAAAATACAAATTGTCGGTGACGGCTTAATAAGAATACTATTGTATAATTAACTTTCTAGTTCCAGCTAGCAGAGTACTTTTTAAATAATCAATTAAAAACAGTAAAAAGTGTTCAATTGTTTTTAAATATTGACAGATAATTCAGGTGTTGCCACTACTTCGTTATGAACGTTAACTCTTAATTGTTATTTCACTTTTTTACTCATATTATGATCAACAGTATCTAATACTAAACTGTGCATGGAGCATATAAATAAGAAGTTATTATCTTTGAAGGGGTCATGATAATTTTTCTTTTAAATAGAGAAATTTATCGAAAAAGTATGTTTGAAGTTCTAATATATATTTTTTTTAATATTGTAACAATAAATGAGTCGAGGAAATGCAAATACATAGTTAACTAAATCCGACGGGCGGGTATTAGTCGTGTTTTCGTTTCTAGCACAAAATGCTAATTTCCGGTCTGCGCCATGCCTCATTCGTGCCGGATTTTACTCGTCCCTACCACAATTTGCAAGTGAAACGGTTGCCCATACAACCCGGAATAATTAAAAATAACAAAATATATTACAATCTTGCGTAAAAACTTTTTTAAGGACCAGATTTAAAAAATACAATATTTAAAAATAGAATGGTTTTTCAATTTCGAAATGCAAATTCTTTATCGACACTTCATTTCCAATCGACTTTGTTCCCTTTGTAGTAAGATTAAAATTTGCTCTATATTTTTACACTAACACAAATTCTCGTTAACAAGCAAGGCAACGGCTGTCTGTTTTGCTACAAATTTATTTTCTACCCAAAAGTCGATTTTCCTTTGTTACTTTGTCGATTTTAGTAGTTTCTTTTCAGTGTACATTCATCATAACAAACATATACACATGGTACAAAGTTTTTCAGGTTTAAAAGGTGAGTCCCAATGCTGAAACGGAATATGATTTGATATATGGCGCGTACGATTATGTCCCGTTGTGTTACTGCATTAGGGTTTAGTTTTGTTTGTTTTTAATGATTATTTAAAGCGTATATTTTGCTTGGTACTTAGATGGGCCAGCGGTTGTGAACGTCAATATATTTGTCAGAAGTATATCAAAGATCGATGACGTCACAATGGTAAGTCGACTGCGACTGACACGACGTATTAGACTAAGATCAGATATAATTAAAATTAATCGCGTTCAAACAAGTCAAATGAATGGGTAAATCACTTCTGGTTGCAATATAGGAGCGATTTACCCAAATTATTATGTGTAAAACCTTTATTTTCATATACTTTCTCCTTCACTTAAAAATCCCGTTTGGTGTTGACGACCAAAATCGTTTTTACTCGCGGACGTCTTAAACGCCTAACGGTTGAGCAGCTTCATTTTCTCGAATGTCTTTCTAATATATTTATTTTTTTCTCCTTACATTAGAGATTAATATAATTAGATTTATGATTTTCCTTTTTAGACTGGCTGGTTGTCTTTATGATTTTGTGTGAAGGGCAGTAGCTTTCTATAATGGTATGGACTGTGATCACAAATTCCAAAATGTCAGCTCCAAATCATTATATTTTGGCATCGACATCAAACTCATCTATTATTTAAAACCATGGTTCTTTAATGGACTTCAATATATTGGCATAGTCATTGCGATACATATTATACTGTAGGTGATGACATATGTAATGATGAAGCGGTTTAATGTTTAAAAATTGTTTTTTGTCACGAAGGCGATGCGCCAACCTTAGTCCGCGTCAACCTGTATCTACGATCCATCAGCAAAATAGATGATTACAAAATGGTGAGTGGTATCACATACACGGCGATGTGAATATGTGACACTTTTATTATAAAACAAAGTTACCTATATAGTATATACAAATTGGCAATAATAACTTTGTTTATAATAAAATTGGTCTTTGTAACCAATTGGATATTTGGCAATTTGAAATGCACTTTGCTAAACATTTATATTCAAGCTATTGTAATTGAATATGTGTTTCTAACGTTTTTATTTATTTCTTTTATTAATACTTTTATAAATATTTTCGTTTTACGTTGAGCACTGTATGTTTTTATGTGTTCATTTTTCACCCTTAACTAAACGAGAAATTTTAAACTAACTAGACTAATAAACTTGTAAAATTCTTTGGTGCGGTGCCGCGCACTCTTGTATTATATTTTAATTAATTTTCTATTCCAAATTGTATAAAAATAAATCTAAATCCTAATTCTAAATTACACTATTTAAAAAAAAAATATATTTTTTCCTCTTGAAACACTTTTATTTTATTTATTTTTTATGTATATTTACCATTATTTGTTTGATTTATATTTTGCGTTGTAATGTTTATGATATAAATTTTAGGAATTCCTGTAAAGTCACCGAACTGATGGATTATTGGCACAGTACAATATAGTAAGCACAAAATTTAATAGCAAATACAACCGCTTCGGTATCAGTCGCACATGTAAAGCTGGTAACATGAACTATTGGTACTCGAACGCACCCACGAACATACTTACCGTTAATACCACTTTTAACATAGTTAATACAAGTATATGATAAATTTCAGTCACGCTTGTAGACAGAGCACAAGGGGAAAACGCGGCGACCGCACCGACACTATCATCTCATTGTTAATATTTTGTTTCTGTATTTTGATTTATCTCCAATCATGCTTCTTTTTTACTGCCATGCAATACTTTTTGATGAGGAGTATACAATTAAAAACTATTTTGGTCGTGTACGTTAACTGTACTTAATATTGTTGATATTGTCTTGTTCATGTGAATTTGTGTTGTGTAAATTGTATTGGGATCGTCGCGCCCGCACACGGCTTGGTGCTTCCGAACGGTGGCTGTCCACCTGACCGCAATATGTGACACCTGACCCCCAACGTCTGCTAGACGATCCGTAGCTCTAGTTAAACTGGCCGAATGTGCCTGCATGAAGGTAACCAATGAACTACTGGCAAGCATTCCATCGACGAATGCTGACTACGGTGAGTCGGTTTCGATGCTTCGCTTGATTCGCTAGTTTGTATGTATGATCCATTAGCATGTTAATGCCTGAAGAAATTTCAAATTCACTCGAAGTTAACTTTTGGACGTTGCAAGTCGTTAACAAGCCATAACGTGCGCAGAGAGAGAGAGAGAAAGAGAGAGCGGCACCTAGAATATTTAGTATGAGGATGGACGGACGTCCCTGCTTCTGGCTGGCGGCCAATTTCAACTAATACATTCATTATGAACCCGCCGCATCCATCAAAGTCGATGCTATCACATTTATGTCTCGTCCCTCCTATGAAAGCATTATCAAAATCATCTACCTCATCCTTGTATATAAGTTCCAAAAGCTAACAATCGAGCGCGCATGCGTTAATTTGGGATTTTTCTTCCGCATTTACTGTAATACGATAATTCATTTGACTTGCTCATTGATGTCGAGGGGTCGTTTCTGTTTTGTTGATGTCAAATTAATTATTGAGAAAGAACCTTCGACACTCCCCTTCCTCAATAGATGATAATGAGATACATTATGAATAATTTACATTTGTGTCAATACGCCTCAGAAAAAATTCCCAAATGAATTTTCCTGATGTTTGTTAGTTCACTGTACATATTGGCAATACTTGTTATGCACCAGGGGCAATATATTGGCACAAATACAAACGTCACCCGTAATTGCTTTGTGGCAAAATAAATGACGACGATAATCACACATTGTAGATTATAGCTTCATGCGTTCAACTATCAATGAAATTAGAACATAAACGTGTGATAAATAAAGCTTCTTAGGATATTGTTGCACTGGAAAATATTGTCGCAGAATATTAAGTAGTTATCACTATAAAATGTGTGTTCCTTACTTTAATAATGTTTCTTTCTTAACTTTTTTACATCACTGAGATATTGTCAAAACTGATGTACACCATGGAGTCCTATCAATTCAATTTTACCTTTAATTCATTTCGGGACATAATAGAAAATGTTTCTAAATGCAAATTTTGAAGTAAAAGGTAAAGTTATGTTGAAAATTGATGGTGTAAGAAGCTATGAGTTGATCGATAGATTAATTTTAAGTGAAAATCATAACCTAAGATAACATTTAAAGCTCAATTAAAATAGAAACATGAAGATCAGTAATCAGAATAGTTTGACAATGTCTCAATGATTTTTCACGGCCACTGTGTACTCTTTACAATGTTTTTTTCATGCTTTCAGGAATATTCTGTTCAATTAACATTCAGGGAACAATGGTTAGATGAGAGGCTCAAGTTCAACAACTTGGGAGGTGAGTGCACTCAAATCTCGTACTATTTTGAGTTTGGCTCTAAGTTTATAGATTTTCAAGTTGTACTGTAAAATTTGATATAAAAAAAATAAATTATTTAGAAAAATTATCTGTAAAACAAGAAAATCAATAGTTGTCTTTTTAAATTTCTAATAACATTATGTGTATTTATTTTAATATTCGCGTATTATATTTAAAATAACATGATCGTTGAATATTAAAGAAAAACCCTACATGTTGACTAACACCAAGCACGATTGACCGAGATGATGATGATGACGAATTAAAATATTTTATACGTTTTAGAGAAGTAATCAAGTATTACTGAGTTACATTTTACATTCAATATTTTTTTTTGGAAATTCACTCCAACAATTCATTCATTACCATAAAAAAATTGTGATCTAAAGTAGCTATGTTACAACAAACAATTACTAGATATCTTTATAAATAGGCTAGAGTTTCGTGCCACTGTTTATAATTACTCTGCTCCATCCAAAGGTTGCCTGGAAGAGATCGCTCTTAGCAATAAGCCCGACATTGTTTTCTCAGCGTAGTTTTTTCTTGTCATTGTTTGTATTTATAATAAGTTTATTACTGAAATCTTTTAAAGGAAACAATAAAGAGTATCTATCTATCTATACTTTGATATATTTATTTATAGAATATTCAAATTACGTTATTAATGTAATTAACAATTCTGCAAACATAATTTTCGATTCACGTAAGTTTTAATGATAAACCTGATCTTACCAAAGGATGGGTCACAAGTAATATAACTAAGGTGAAGCTTTTAGCAGAAGGGTATCCTTTGGGACCATGTCATAACTTTGTAAGTGCCTGTAACTTTATTTAGAATGTAACTATACCAAGGTTATTCGTAATATTGAAGGAGTCAGGTTAAGATGCCCTCAAACTGAATAAGGGGTTTAAGAAGTAATATATTTAATTAGTTCAACCTAAATAAACTAAAATATATTCGGTGCCAGACACAATGTTGTAACAACACTGATAAATCAATGATAACATCAGTTTCTTTGTTTATACAATCAACAAAGAGATATTCAGATGAAATATTTTTTTGCGTCTTCAACAGTGGTGTATAGAATTCGCCTAATATTTTTATGCGTATAAATAAGTTTAAGAGTCATCATCATCATCATCATATCAGCCTTTAACTGTCCACTGTTAAACATAAGTCTATACATAAGTTTTACCAATAGCTGCCACGCTTGGTAGGCGGATTAGTAACCGCAGTTAGGCTTTTGAAATGTTTTAAGAGGGACGCTGCTGCCCATCGCTCGCCCTCTCTTAGTCGCCTCTTACGACACCCATGGGAAAGGAAAGGGTAGCCTACATAATTTAAGAGTGTATGTATGAAATTTAAAGCGTTTGCATAAAATTTATTTCCCTATTATATTCTGACGGTAAATTAAGTAATCTTATAGTCAAAAGCGCCCAATAAGTAACGCATAAAATTGCATCTCATTTCTTTTAACAGTTTTTATCACATTAGATGTTCAAAATTTTAATTAATACAAACATTTTATATATTGCATTTAAACAATACATACAACGATTAGTTTAACAACTTGTTAGCAAGGGAGGGCTTATCTTTGAAAGAGATCTCTTCCAGCCAACCCAGTGTAGTTAGAGCGAAAATAATTTGGGTAATCCAGTACAGGGAAGGTACCGGTAAAAATAATGTAAATACAACAAACAAACACAAATTGTGAATAAATAAATAAATAAATACGTAAATAAGTAAATAGATAAATAAATATATAATACATATGTATAAGTGCATAGAATTATCATGTACTATTGGTTAAAAGGTGTGAATTCAGTCTTCTCTTGAAGGAAGTAATGGAAGTTTTAAATATATGTGAACTGAACCTTAGACCAAGACAATTCGATAAACACCAATTTCGAATACGCTAATGTGAATGAAACAGAACACCGATATAAAACACCATTATTTTTCCCCAGGCCGTCTGAAATACCTAACCCTGACAGAAGCGAACAGAGTATGGATGCCTGATCTGTTCTTCTCCAACGAGAAGGAGGGACATTTCCACAATATCATCATGCCAAACGTATACATCAGGATCTTTCCCAATGGAAATGTATTGTACAGCATTCGAATCTCTCTGACTCTCTCCTGCCCTATGAACCTTAAGCTGTACCCATTGGATAAACAGACATGCTCCTTGAGGATGGCCAGTTGTAAGTATATATTACATATGTCTTATGTCGTCTGAAAGTGTAAATTTTGTCTCATCTTTCAATTTTGCTAGTAAGCAGTTTACATGCTGTATGTTGGTGTGAGAAGATCGTGTCGCTGATCTTTGTGAAAATTTTCATTTCCACAAAGATCAGCGCGTAACGTCCATATGTTTTGCTAATTAGAAACTTTATTATCTCTCGGCTAACTATGCAACGAAAACAAGCTAAAAGAGTGCAATATTGTCACAATCGGTATATAATAATTAGTACCGAAATTAAGTCTACTCTATTAAATACGAAATAAACTTGCAATGTCAGAATATTATTGTTTCAGTCGTTAACTGTCCAATGCTGGACATAAGCCTTTCCCATAAGGAGAGTTTTTCCAGTAGTTGGCACGCTTGGCAGGCGGGTAGGCAACCGCAGTTAGGCTTTTGAAGACATTTTAAGATGGACGCTGCTGTCCATCTCTCGCTTTTCCTTCGTCGCCTCTTACGACACCCACGGGAAAGGTAGGGGCAGCCCATTCTATGCCAGGGCACACAAGGCGAATATTAGATATATTATGTTACGTTACTATCGAGAAATTATTATAATTATATAAAATGTATTTTGGCTGACATTGGCTTTTTGGCATTTGGCTGGCGCAACTCAAGTTCTTAGTTTGTTATCAACGATCAGCAAACTGTTAGATGTTTCAAACATTCTTAAATATCAATATAACTTATTAAAGAGGCAATAAGAGTAACTCTTTCGTTCATTGTGATGATTAGAAATTGTTATGTTAGTTTGTTACTGAACTTCGTCCACCTAAAATAGTTCTATTCCACAATTTATAAATTACATCAAACATTACGTAGAAAAACGCATTTCGAGCAATTGACGTCTAAAGAACTGTTAAAATAAGAAGTGTGGAAGTGCGTTGGACATTTGTTTACAGCAAATAAATAAATTACAATTGTTTACATTTCAGAATAAAATGCGCATGTTTGTGTTGCAACTGGGTAGTCTCTGATATTCACAGCTCTTAAAAATATTATTCTAACCATGAAATATTGAAACCACTTCTGAAATACTGTTTACTAAATATGTCAATTGTTGGGCGATAATCAATGTGATAAATTTAGAATACAATGTTACGATTTAAATCCTAATATTACATTTATTATGAATGTGAAAGTTTGTTAAAATGCAAACATTTGAAAGTTTGTTGATTAATTTTGCTTGCACAATTTTTTTTCTGTGTAATTTTGAATGACAAATAAGCTGACAGGAAAGTGGTAACCGACGCCTATAGACATGAGCAGTACCATGGACATAACAGAGTATACTGATTCGCCCGTGATACTCCCCATGCGTTAGTATTATGCCTCTGTGCTCTGTAAATTCACTGCCATAGCCCATCCTTCAAACCGAAACAGAACTTTACAAACACAACTGCTTCACGGTTGAAACACGAAAGGGATAAAAGTACCCAAACAAACGACTTTTGTTCAAAGTCTATCTCCCTCTGGTATTCTGTCTCGTATATCGGATTTGAATTAACTTTAGTATACACTACACAGATGGAAGTCATAGTTCATGTCATCAATCTTTAGAAAAACTATGAATTTATTTATGCCTGCTATCAAAGTTTTAGGTTTTAGTTTTAAAGATAAATGTAGAGTATAACGCGTCAAAATTCACCCCATTCGTATACAAATGTTTCCCTTATTTACTGCCATGCCAAACGTTTGTAACGAATTGTGCGTGAAAATATATGGAGACGCCTACGGATGCGAATAACAAAAGGTTATTATGAGTTTTCGTACAGTTGGAGCTCATGAGATTGATGATTTCGCAATATGTTTGTTTCATTTCTTTGTATGCTATTACAAAGTATCCGTGTGGTAACGGAGTGAGAACACAATATGTCACCATTTCCTTTCTTCTCCATGGCATCGTAAGGATAAGAAGATAATAAAATCACTAGTTTCCCCGCGACTTCGTCCGCGTCGCCAGGATATGTTAAGTGGCCGGGATGAATAGCAACCTATATTCTTCACCATTCCAAATAGTACGCGTGTACCAAATTTCATAACGAGATAATAAGCAAATAAACAAACACACTTTCACATTTATAATATCAGTAACGATACAACGATGCAAGAGATGAGAACTCGAAATAAAACCTTATAGAAGAACTCATAGAGGATATTATGAGATCTTCCATAGAAATAAGCAAAAAAAAACTTAGTTCATTTTATAATTGATTAACTAAGGAGGATTCTGAATTATTTCAGATGGTTGGACGACGGATGATCTGGTGTTCCTTTGGAAAGAAGGCGATCCAGTACAGGTGGTGAAGAATCTCCATCTTCCTCGGTTTACTCTGGAGAAGTTCCTTACAGACTATTGCAACAGCAAGACTAATACTGGTAATGAATATTCCAATGATTTATGTTCACATATTCACCAATATCTAACAGTGTGAATGTGAAAAGAATGTCAGTTGCAAATGGTGATGAAATAGATTAAGTAATATGAAATAGATTCAAAAAGTGGAAGAATGTAGGCACAAAAAGAAATTTAGACTGAATCTATAACGGTGACGGTAGTAATGTCTGATGCAGGACCCAAAGTTATTAAGAATTGAGGCAAGTTGAATGATAAGGGATAAAACTATAGATACAGTATGCAAAGATAAAGAGACGCCAAATGCACATGGTATCTCTATATGCATAAAATATTTGCAAACATCACTTTCTATACAATAATAAAACAATAATACAACAAAAAATGTATGTTGACAGATCCCTTGTTACATCAACGAATATGCTTTATTGTTTTTAGGTGAATACAGTTGCCTAAAAGTGGACTTACTGTTTAAACGCGAGTTCAGTTACTACCTTATCCAGATCTACATTCCATGCTGCATGCTCGTCATTGTCTCCTGGGTGTCCTTCTGGTTGGATCAAGGAGCTGTGCCAGCGAGGGTATCGCTAGGTGAGATACAAATAAAATATCACCTGTTGCATTTTAGTAGATATAGACTTATAATGGATAGAGGATTGGACAAATTTGGTCTTACAGATAATCTGTGTCGCTTAATTCTGCTGCCAAGCGATTATTTCCTGCTTTGGGCTTATTTGAAGAGTAAAATATTGTAGAGAAATTTCTGAGTGCTGTGACTTAAGATGGTCATATCCTTAAGTGTTGTAAATTTTTCTGAAGTATTTAAATTATGAATAGATCCAAGACAAGAAATAAAATCTGTCATAAAATATATGTACTACAATAATGTTGTCTTATTTTTCACAGGAGTGACAACCTTACTCACGATGGCCACTCAATCATCAGGCATAAACGCGTCCCTTCCTCCAGTGTCGTATACAAAAGCCATCGACGTCTGGACAGGGGTGTGCCTAACTTTTGTCTTCGGGGCGTTACTAGAGTTCGCTCTAGTGAACTACGCGTCTCGTTCTGACATGCATAGAGAAATGATGAAGAAAACGAGACGGGAGATGGAAACAGCCGCCAGTATGGACGCGGCGTCAGATCTGCTGGATACTGACAGCAACGCCACATTCGCTATGGTGAGCTCGCATTTGATACGAGTGAATTTGTTTTAAATATACGAAATAATCTCTGAAGTACATGTTGTGTTTCACTCTAGTTAGGAACATAGACATGAGCGATGTGGGCCATTCCCACATCTAAATAGCCTCACAACTCGTAAATTTCTATCATTTTTACAATTTTACTCTTTCATTTTTTTAAACCGTCTTTTTACGTCAGCAAAGGGCCCTGCACGAAATGTATTTTACTCAAATCCAATTTAGGTTTTATTTGCCATTGTTTAGGAAAAAATTCAAATTTTACACCAATCTCATCAACTAGCTTGAAATGAATCCTTTACCAAACCGCTAGTCACGTGGCTTGGTAAACGCTAAGAGGCATGTGATAATCTTGTGACTTGACTTCGTCTTCTCCTATAATTTTTTACTGAGGCTCCGCCTGCATATATCGATGGAACAGGCGGAGTTACCATTCCATTTTCATCCCATTAAAAAACCAGACAAGTATACACCAGGAGAGAATCGTTGATAGGGAGAAGTGGTATTGGCTACCAACCCTATCTTTTCTTAAATAATAATGAGTTCTACATAATCACATAAATCGCTTAGCCCTCAAGTTAGAAAATACTATGTTATGAAGAACCAGATGAACAACAACTGGCGGTATAATCCAGAACAACCAGACCCGAGTCAATTCAGTAAAATATTTTCTAAATTTGCCTCAGCGAAAATCAAACCCGGGACATCATTTACGCATAGCAACATACCTACCACTATGCCATGTAGATTGTTAAATGTACGTGATGCTGTGTGTCCGTCCTCCCTGACTGGTCTGCAACAAACAGAAACCCCTGGTGCGCGACGGCATCATTGACTCCAAGATGCGGCAATGTGAGGTGCGCATGAGTCCTCCGCGCAAGAACTGCTGCCGCCTCTGGATGTCGAAGTTTCCGACTAGATCCAAGAGGATAGACGTCATTTCCAGAATCACCTTCCCGCTTGTGTTTGCACTCTTTAATTTGGCTTATTGGTGAGTAATTACAACTTTTAATCCATTCGATTAGCTTATATTACTTAATTATTATTTAGGTTTTTAATTTATAATCTTCATTTTCTTGACTCAATGGTAGTACTACTAATATGAAGTTATGTATCAGATTTTTTTGCCCACATATTTTTCTATTATTATTATTTTTAATAACACATATATTTAGATATTTTTCTATATTCATTAGTTATTTTCATAAATCCTAAAGTGGTTTTGAAAATAATTTTTCAATTCGATAAGCTTATGTTTTCCTGTCAATCTCCTGTTAATCTTGTCCCAATATTTTTTTTCGAGGAACATAATCTTATTTTTCTTTCTGTGAAACATCTAATAGAAGTTCTTCCCTATCTTAATAACGTACTCTGAACACGATTCAAGTATTGAAAAGCTATAAACCATTTTTGTAAAATAAACATATTTAAAATCTTATGTATGGCGGGCGATGTACTCTATCATATCACTAAAGTGTCTCAATTTTTGAAAAACCTACCTCGTGTCCGTGCTCATTTACCAGAGGGAGATTTTGTATAAAAGTGATTTACTTGGATACCTCTGTCCCATTCGTATTTCAACCGTGAAGGAGTTGTGTTTGCATAGCTGTGTTTCGGTTTGAAGGGTGGGATATGGCAATCTATTTACAGAGTACAGAGGAATTACATCTGAGTCCTCAGGAATGGCAATGCTTAGGGAGTATCATGGGCGAAATAGTATACTCTGTTATGTTCATGGCACTGTTTATGTCTATCGGCGACGGTTACAAGTATCCATCAGGTGGGCAGTCAGCTTGTTTGCCATTCTAAGTTGTAAAAAAAGACAGATGTAATAAAGTTCGTGTGGTGGTGTGGTGACGTGGTGGTGTGGTGGCGCAGGTCGACGTACCTGTTCCGCGACGAGGACCAGGAGAAGTGATTCTCCGGGTCGGCCGGCGGCGCGCCGCAGGTGGCGCGGCTGGCGGCGGCGGTGCTGGCGCCGTACGCGCTGTTCGCGCTGGCCTACGCGCTGTTCCTGCGCCACGCGCCGCCGCGCCGCGCCGCCCGCCCCGCCCGCCCCGCACTCCCCACACTCCCCGCACTGCCCGCACTCCCCGCACTCCCCGCACTCCCCGCACGCCGCCACACTCGCACGCCCGCCTCTACTGCTACAGCCGGTTATGCATTTTAACCCTCGTTTGAAGCTTTACAATGCGATCAAAGTAATAATAGGCACCTCAACGGCCCCGGACTGTAAACCTAGAGTAATCTCCAAAACCAACCACAGCATGGGATTCTTCAAAAGCCCCCCTTTTGAAGAACCTAAAGAGGTTTATTCAGGGTCAGCAACGCGCGGGTAATACTTCTAGTATTGCAAGTGTACGGTAACCACTTACCATCAGGTGCTCCGTATGCTTGTTTGCCACTTCAGTGGTATAAAAAAAAACAAAGAGCCTCCTTTTTTTGAATCATGATAGAATTTGCTTTGCGCAATCCAACAAGAATTTAAGAGACCTGCTGATACTATATTAAGTTTGTAACTAATAGAAGACACATTTTTTGTAATGATTTTTCGATAAGGTCAATTTTCCTAATAAGAAAAAAACTATGTTTAGACAGTAAATATGGTGTGAAATAAGTCCTATTCTTATTTTGATCGCTTAATTTAAGTATTATGTTGTACCCACAATTTCCACCATTTTTGAATATTTTTAATAAGTTTTATAAAGTTTTTTGAATTATTAAATTAATGGTTAGACTAATCTGGCCAAAAATAACAACTAAGCATGATCAGCTCAGGGTTTAGATTAAATTAAAAATAACTAAATCCAGAGAAGTCGAATTTCCGATTGTTGTTCTATTATAATTTGCTATTACAAATCTTTTTATATTTTGTACAAACATAAATATGTCTTCATGTGGCATACCAACTATCTACTTTTACTTTATTTTTAACAAGAATGATTCATTTATTACTATTTTGTAAAATTCGAATCTACAGCTCTTTAATTTAAAATTAATTGTGAATATTAATTTATTACCTAATTAAATAATGATTCGGATTGTTGAAACTTAGGAATTTCTTATAAATTGTACAGTGAAACCTGACTGAAACACCGGCACTTAAGAACTTAAGAACATCTCTTGTCACTCATACCTATTATTTCTCTCATTATACAACTATGATAGGTACTTATTGATACATGATAACGATATGTTATTAGTACCTATATATAATATTTATGTACAAAAAATTTCCTTTCCAAAATAAAAATTTTTGATAATTTTACCAAAATGGAACTGTGTATTGAAACGTACATTATGTGTGTTAAAATAAGTAGGTGTAAGCGAAATATGAATAACCACATAGCAATACAATACTGTCAAAAAATTATATGCAATTTTAGACTGCATCAGTATTACTAATACGAACTAGTATATCACAGAATAACTTTGAACAGAAAAAAATTACTATGTGGCCTCGTATGGAACAATTTGAGAATTATCGTATTAAATTCAAATATTTTAGATGACATATGACTACAATAATGTGAATTTGACTCTATCACACAGACGATAGAGTTCAATATTTTAACTCTTTAGAAATTAGAGTACTTTGTCAGAGCATGTTCACATTGATTGTAAGACGGCCTAGATATATATATATATCGTGTAGGTTTCGTTTATTATAAAATTATAATAAGAATATCGTCTATAAGACAAAAGGAATTTATAAACACATTATTCATTATTTCATAGGTTTAACGACCTTCTTTACTCGGAGAAGAAGAGATAAATAGTATAATTCAAAGTAATAAGATCGATAGTTCTGGGACGAGTTAATTTAGGAAACAAACATTTCTAAGCTAACTCGCATCTGGGCGTTATGGGTGTGCCACCCATGAGTCGTTGTCTGGTTTCCTCATAGTACAGGGCATCCTAGTTTGAAAACCAGACAATTGGTGTGATTATCTGGCACCTAATTAGTAATTAGATAAGTATTATGTATAATATTCATGTATTTCTCATTAAAAATTCTTGTAATTTGAAGTTGGACACAGTAGTATACTACTGGCAGTTACGTGTATACATATAAATCGACGATTTCCTAGTTAAATTACCATTTCTTTATTAGATATCAAATAGATATATATCCATACGAATTTTATCTAGTCTATTAAATAATGAAAGAAGGAATTTCGTTTATTAAAAGATATTTAACAAAAGTAATTTTCGTATCGTTTGGTATATTTTGATGATATTTCAATTCATATATTGCAAACAATATAACTTGTGAAAATTATACACACTCATTTAATCATTGTTCGAAATGATAATATAAAATAATAGTGAGTTTGATTTTAAGTGAGTGAATTACAAGAGTTTTAAATGAGAATCCGTAGGTGGTTACCATGTAAATAGTTGGGCCTACAACTTTCTACACCTGTGTCGCTCATTGTACAGTTATTTATGAATATATATTTAACTATATTATTGTATCTAATAAAAAAAAAAAACTTACAAGATTTTATTAAATGTTAATTTTTGTGTCATACAACGTCTATACGTGTCACTGTAAATACTGTCAATATTTCCTAATTACTTAATACGTGGAGTACGCTCCTTGTTATATTATTTTCAATCTTGCATGATTATAGTATTATTATCTTTAATCAAAAAGGTATTAAATAATTTTGTAAAGATTTCAAGTAATTTTAAATATAACACGAATTTAATGCAGTACTATTATAATTAATTTCCGACGTCTATTTACCTTATACAGGGAGCATGCTTTCACTGCTAGTATCAATGTTTTAATGTGTATTTATCAATCACTACACGTAACTTCATATTATTATATCACTAACGCTGTGTTCGTTTAAGAACTTTATTGTAAGTCCGGTGTCCGTGAACCATGTTGTGTCAACGGTGAAATTCCGAATTTCTTCACTTTGTTTACGGTTCTTGCTCATTTCTCTCTTTCCGTCCCTTTTCCGTAAACAAACTTTTAGGTTGTTACAATACATAGTTTAGTAGATACTTATTCAATATTATCGGTCGGTATTCTTTTACATGTCCTCATTAGATATTCTTGGGCTGTGATGAAGCATGTAGTTTTAACCGGGTCTAATGATTTAAATTTTATATTTTACAGAATGTTGTAACAAAATAAATATGAACATAAGTATGGAGAATCTTTCATCATTCAGCCGTCAACATTATATTGAAATTGGCATTTATTTATATAATGTCCTTACATATGTTCCCAACAATCTGTTTTCCACTTAATATTTCAAATTATAAATTAGATAACACTCAATTATAATTTTACATCTTTGCATAATTTTAAGTACCAATTAGTCGAAATGTAGTACAAGATATATCTATTACAATTGATAAAGTATATTATGAACTCGTAAATAACATATCGATTGTTGATTTACACGAGTGCCCACCGAATCATAATGCCTACAAAACTGTGAACACATTAAGTAGGTTTTTAAGTGAAACAGAACACCAAAACGGTAAATAGCTAGAAAAAAAAAACCACCGAACAAGTGAAGCAAATTTATTGTAAGGTTGAGAAATTTTAAACAAATTTTAACCAACAATGATAATATTAATTATTTTTGCTCAATCCTTGTCAATCAATTCACACCTTATAATTGTAAATGTAACAATTATATTTACCAACAAAATCCTAGCTGCTTCCAGACCTAGAGAAGATCTCTCAGCTTGTAAAATGTGTAAAGATCACTAGAAATAAAATTCAACAGTCATTCCCACTGTCATTAAGTTCGGATCGTCGTAAAGAAGAGTCGTGAAGGATTTTAATAAAAGTATACCCATCTATCAGTGTGTTTTATTTATGCATATTTCAATTCAAAATTAATAATACCTACTCAATTTTATACATAGACAAGAAATAGATGAGGTAGATTATTTATTTCGTTGTGTAAGCACAGCTTAAAAAATATTTCTAGGTTATGCTAACTTCATTTTCGATTTATATACTTAAACCAAATGAATGAAATCACTTCAATGAACAAATTAATAATTTTATTAAGCTGCTACAACATATGTCTAGAGAACAACCACATTTTTTTTTTTATTTTTTGTTATTCATCTAATTAGATAATAATGCTGGCGGTCAATTCTTAATTTTTGGGCTCATTGCTTTTACACGCGATGAACTTTTCTGCTTCGCTCTGTAAAAGAAAATACAATAGTTTACATACAGCAACGAATAGGTTTCATTCGACTTATCTCTATATGTATAACATACTAGCGTATCCTGCAGCTTCGTTTGCATGAATCAGTAAGTACATAAAGTGTCTCTCGTGTTATGTTAGGATCTAACCTATCCGTGTACTAAATTTCATTCGTATCCCTAGTAGAGTAAAGAGCAACAAATATCCATTCATCATTACAAACTTTCGTACCATTCATCACCAATGAGGGGAAAGGGATTGTTAGTAATGGAGACTGAGAATCCCATTGCTAGCAATATACCCAACCAGGTCGCCCTCCTCACGGTTCTCCCTAAAAACTATTATGGTTAATTCCAATGAATTCATCATGATGGGCCAACTGGCCTGTTTTCATTCTCATCTATCACCCTTCACTGGTGCTCCGCAAGCGTATACCGTTAGCGCAGGCGGGGTTACCATACCATTTTCACCCATCAAAAAAAATCATCATCAATACGTATAATAAAATCGTTAATGAATACGAAAAACTTTAATTGGGGGGCTTTGTGAACGCAATAGAACCCAAAACATTGATTTTAGAATTTTCCTCTGTACGTCTCTGCAAGCTAATCTCAGAAACGGCTTAACTGATTTAAATGCGGTTTTCACTAATGTGCCAGCGTATAATATATGTAAATATCCAAATGGGCTACCCTATAGCTATGTATTGTAAGAGGCCACTAAGGGAGGGCGAGGGATTGGCAGCAGTATCTCTCTTAAAACATCACCAAAATTATACTGTGGTTGCCTGTCCGCCTGCCAAGCGTGCCAAGTACTGACAAAATGTCCCTTATACGGGAGCCCTACAGTTAACAGCTATCAGCTGTATGTGGTATGGTATAATATAAAATCTACACAATAGGTTTTAATTTCAAATGGATTTACAGTCAATAACTCATTAAAATGATAATTATCTTCTAGATTTAATGCTATTTTTTAAATTAATCACAGTCACAGAAACAGACTTCGCGAGTCTAAAACTAAAACCCTATACTATTTTTATGAAAAAATACATTTATAGATAGATAGATAGATACTCTTTATTGTTACCTCCAAAAGATTACAATAGTAAACTTATTATAGATATAAACAATTACAAGAAATAATCACAGCGAGAAAACAATGGACGACCTTATCGCTAAAAGTGATCTCTTCCAGGCAACTTTTGGATGGAGGGGAGTAATTATAAACAGTTTGATCGGAGGCACGATGAAAATTCTATCATTTATATATCATTTATCTATTCATTTCGTACTATGGATTATATCTGATGGAGAGCGGTGACGTCATATAACTGTCCCCTATAGACATGAACAGCACTACACACACATATACATACATACATATATATATTTTTTATACAACTTAGTATGGCAAACAACCTGACGGCCCACCTGATGGAAAGTGGTAACCGTCGCCTATAGACATGAGCGTACTGCTCATGGACATAACAGAGTTTGTTTCGCCCATGATACATCTAAGTCCTCAGGAATGGCAACGCATGGGTGCCTCAGACTCTAATGTTATTCCTCTGTACCCTGTAAATTCACGCCATATCCTACTCTTTAAATCGAAACACAGCTATGCAAACACAATTGCTTCACGGTAGAAACACGAATGGGATAGAGGTACCCAAGCAATCAACTTTGCACAAAGTCTCACTCTGGTATGAGGTACAGATATAGATATATCTTTGTAAATAAAGAACTAATAAGAGAGTAAAAGAATTATCAAAATTGATTTAAAACTAGCAAAAATATCGCTTAAATATAAAATAAAAAAAAAATGACATTTATATACAGCAGGGGTGGCCATTTCTATTCTCGTTCTAATCAAGTCCAAGGTAAAAATATAATATTTTACTAATCTAGCGAAAGATGATTAGACGCAATGCTCACACTAACATAAATATGTACTTACTATGAATAATTTTCACTTTTATATTTTCCCTCTTAATAAAATAAAAAATACTGCAACACTACATAGTTGTGTACTGTGCTATGTTGTTTCGTTTGTGATTTCAAGAAGTGTGTAACTGATAGACCGCACAGGGTTTCGTCAGTAAACAGTAGATCTTGGGTCTAGTCAAGTCGGCCACCACTGATTTATGCCTTCTAATATTTTAAGAATTTCAAATGCAAGATTAGTAATTTTCATAACAACATGAAACACGTTTTTTTTTTTATATACAACTTAGAATGGCAAACAAGCTGACGGCTCACCTGATGGAAAGTGGTAACCGTTGCCTATAGACATGAGCAGTAGCATGGACATAACAGAGTATAATGTTTCGCCCATGATACCCCCCATGCGTTGCCATGCCTGAGGACTCAGGTGTTATTCCTCTGTACCCAGTAAATTCACGCCATATCCCACCCTTCAAACCGAAACACAGCCCTACAAACATAACTACTTCACGGTAGAAACAGGAACGTGTGTGTTTTACGAAAATTGTGTACAGACAAATTGAAACACACACTAACACAACACACACACTCACATAAATAAATACGCACACAAACACTTAGCACCATCTTCTTTGTTGAAGACTGACCTGTATGAGTTTGTATATGACATAAATGGTTTCCTCGGTCGCACAGGCGTCGTCTGGTTCCTGGTTGATGGACCTCTTGCCGTTCCCCCAGCCGGTGCTGAAGGTCAACTGCGCCTCAGCCACCACGAGCACGACCGCCGCTAACAAAAGGAACATAATCACTCGAGACATGGTTCTGCAGTGAACGACCAGATGGAATTAACTTCGGAATGTTCCTGAATTGTTTTATATAGGGTGAGGCAATTATACTGGTCACTTGTAAGTTATTTTACAAATCAAATGAAGACCTGTAAGTTTAGGCGAAATTAAATTGTGTTCCACAAACAAAAAAAAAAAAACTACTTCAATTGTGGCAAAACCAGTTATTTTGATTTAGTAGCTAAACTACTGTACCGATTTCGATAAAAATTTCTATGGGACCAACCTGTAAGTGTATCCTTTCAGATAAAAAAGAATTTTCCAAATCCGTGCGCAACTGACGGAGTTATGAATGGTAACAAACATAAAATAATACAACCGAATTACGAGCCTCCATCCTTGATAATAATGGAATGGACCACAATATCTCCCCCCCCCCCCCCCAACAGAATTGATAATAACAGAGATTAATAATTAATGCTCCTTTCCACTCAGGGTTTGCTGGTAGAGAACTCTTACAGAGTTAAGCTCGCCTGTTGCACATCTTTATTTTATATATATATATATATATATATATATATATATATGTATTATATGTTGTAATTTTTTCTGTGTGCAATAAAGAATAAATAAATAAATTGTATTAAACAAACTCTTTCTCTTTACTATATCCGTCATCATCATCATCATATCAGCCTTTAACTGTTCACTGTTAAACATAAACCTCCCCCTTGGGAAGTTCTGCTAGTAGTTGCCACGCTTGGCAGGCGGATTAGCAACCGCAGTTAGACTTTGGAGATGTTTTAAGAGGGACGCTGCTGCCCATCTCTCGTCCGCCCTTAGCCGCCTCTTACGACACCCACGGGAAAGGAAAGGGTGACCTATTCTGGAAGTAAATTTACAGAGTACAGAGGAATAACACCTGAGTCCCAAGGAATGGCAACGCATGGGCGGTATCATGGGCGAAACAGTATACCTACTCTGTTATGTCCATGGTACTGCTCATGTCTATAGGCGACGATTACCACTTTCCATCAGGTGGACCGTCAGCTTGTTTGCCATTCTGAGTGAAATAAAAAGAACACTTCGTTCTTAAAATATCACCAAAGTCTAACTACGGTTGCCAACCCGTCTGTCAAATGTGGCAACTATTGACAAAATCCTCCTTGTGGGAAAGACCTATGCTCAGCAGTGGACAGTCAACAGCTGATATGGTATGGTATAGTCTACACTAATATTATAAAGAGGAACAATTTGTATTTTTGTGTGTATGTATGTTTGTAATGAATAAACTCAAAAACTACTTTGCCGATTTCAAAAATTTTTTCACCACTAGAAAGCTACATTCACCCTGAGTAACATAGGCTATATTTATTGCTAGAAAAGATTAGGGATCCTTACTAAAACTTTAGTAACGTAACTCAAGGTGTAAAAAATGCTATAAAATATCTTTAGTCGCGTGCGCTGCGGAAACTATTGGTGATAGAACAAAAGTATGTTCTACAATATTGAAGAAAATGTCAATAACTACATAAAACTTCGGGATACTATATGTCCAACTAGTATCGTTATGTCACAATAATCACTTTTTAAAATGTTGTAAAAATGTCCACCCGTGCGAAGCCGGGACGGGCCGCTAGTATACTTATAAATTACTAAATTTTTACTCAAAATTATGTACAATTTTGAGTAAAAATTTCCATAATCTGTTGGTTCTTCAAAAGGGGGCTAAAGAGGTTTCTTCAGGGTCGGCAACGCGCGCGTAATACCTCTGGTATTGCAGGCGTTCATAGCCTACGGTAACCGCTTACCATCAGGTGGGCCGTATGCTTATTTCCCACCTCAGTGGTATAAAAAAAAAAAGAATTACCTTTAAAGTACCTACCCCACCCTTTAGGTGGGAAATTCCGTCACTTCCCTGGTAACGTCCAAAATGATATTGTTATAAATGAATATCTCCAGAAGCTACGTGCGCCATCAAAATATAATGCATATGTTTAACCATGGCTCCGCTTTGGTAATATTATGTAGGGCCATATTACCGGCGAGAAGAGATTATACGAGTGAGCGGTGTTTACTTTTAGTAAGGTTTTTTTAATGGATGATAATTTACTCCTCTCCATCCAAAGGTTGCCTGGAAGAGATCGCTCTTAGCGGTAATGTCGCCCATTGTTTTCTCATTGTAATTGTTTATATTTATAATAAGTTTACTATTGCAATCTTTTGGAAGAAACAATAAAGAGTATCTATCTATCTATAATGGAATGGTAACCCCGCCTGCCCTTTAGTGAAAATAGAATTGTAACGCCCGTCAGTTAGCCCACCATGATGAATTCGACAAGAATTAACCACGATGGTTTCCAGGGGGAACCGCGTGGAGGTCGATCTGATAGAGTGTATTATTCGTTTACCGTTATCATTACCGACCCATTACTCACAATCTCTTTTACCCTATAAATTTTTATTTTTACTATATTTACTTGCATAAACATATGTGTGCAGTAGGTATAGACTGGGTACTTTAGCGTTATAATTATATAGCGTTATAATTCGGGCATGTATTGCCAATATTAGCATGCAAATTTTTTGTTGTCGAACTGTAACATTACAAACTGATATATTGCAAATAACATATTGTCAACAATAGCATAATAATAACAAATAATAATAATTAAAAAATAAATGTCAAAAAATTAAACAGTATTTGTAAATAACAAAAATTAAAATAATATTTAAACAGAGTACTTAATACCTATATACCATAATTATACATTTATATGTATCTTCTTTAAATAATTCATTTAAGAAATCATTAATCTTGTTATAACTTTTTGTTATTAGTAAATTAATTTGTTATGTAATTTTTTAAACTTTTTCTTAAACAAATTTGTTTTTCAACATTAATACAAATAAATAATATTAAATTAATTATAATAATTACTATTCTAATTATATTTTACTTGATTCATATTATTTGAGGCGTGGGCAGATGGCTATATAAAAACCACTTGTGAAAAACAAAAACTAATTACGAACTGAAGCGGACAAATTAAAAATTTTGTGGCTTCTTTCATTTATTCAACAGTACATTTGCAGGCATATAAAAACTCTATCGTGCCTCCCGAACCATCAAAGCTTACGCAGCCTTCAAAGGAAGTAGCTGGTTCACAATTCACACAAAGGGAAATCCAATAAATCACAACAATATGCATAAAGTTATATTGTTAGTCGTCGTTCTAGTGGCGTGCCTCTGGATAGCGGAAGCGCAGTTGACGTTTACGTCAAGCTGGGGCGGGAAAAGATCGGCCATAACCGGATCCATCTCCTGTAGAAACGACGAGTCTATGGCTGCCATATATAAATTGATACAGGTAACACATTCATGAATTGAACTATTCAAAAATGTTATTTGGATGTATAAAGTTAAGGGTACGATTTTTGGAACAAATTTGGATGTGTTTTAAAAAAAATTACTTTGTTCAATGTCATTGTATTGTATTTTAGAAAAATTGTGTCATATTTTTCTGTTTGCTCACATATTGAGTATCAGGTAAACTGTGTACTTTAAATATTTCTATTTTTAAAGCCTATTTCTTTTTTTCAATAAATAACTACGCATTTGAGCGACTCTCTAATAATGTAATTCCGTTTTTTTTTTTTACAGAATGAAGCTGAGAAATTAATAATTTGCCAAAAACCTTGAAATGGTGAAGCACAGAAGATTTTTTATAATGACGACTAATTATTTTTATTGGCTCTTAATTGTTTATTGAATAGAAAATACAGAAATATAGGAGAATGACTATTTCATAATTATACCTTACATATTATTTAAGTATTAAAAATAAATACATGTATTTACATTAAATATGCTTAATTTTACTATTCAGTTACGTATGGATCCACAATGTGTTCTTATTTTGTAATGCTTTATGTTTAATGAAATATAATTATTTATTAAATAGTAGTTAATAAAATATTTTTTTTTTTATTTCAATACCCTGGTTTCTAAGTGTAACAATATCATATAAAAATCACATTAACAGTCGATAAATGCCTCCTGACTACCTTATTAGGGGTGGGAGGAGAGAATGGATTATTAGTAATGAGGGGGTTTACAGCTACCCTGTCAAATCGATCTTTGCGCGGTTTACTCTGCGAGCCATATCGTTGGTAATCCGTCATAGTCGTAGAATACTGACGGATCTGACAAATATTACATATATAGATCAGTCAGTATTCTACGATTATGACGAATTCCTAATGAATTCGTCACGATCGGCTAACTGAACTGTCTTCATCTTCCCGTATCATCATTCAATGGTATCTCGAGTAGGTACTGATAACCGATAGTATAAGTAGGGTTACCATTCCTTTTTTACCTATTAAAGTCTTTTTTTTTAATAGGTGATAAGGGAATAGTAACCGTCCGCGCTATCGGTATACGCTGTGGTATGCCAGTGAGGGATGATAGTTGACGATAAAAGCAGGTCAGTTAGCCCATCGTGACGAATTGCACTAGAATTAACCACGATGGTTTTCAGGGAGAACCACGTGGTGGTCGACCTGATAGGGTGTATTGCTAGCAATATGTTGGTTAGAGACCCCATTACTAACAATCCCTTTTCCCCCTTAAAAACTTATTAGAGATCATTACATTACATTAATCGTAAGCATTTTTATTTACCAGAGGGAGACTTTGTACAAAAGTCGATTGCTTGGGTACCTCTGTCCCATTCGTGTTTCAACCGTGAAGCAATTGTGTTTGCATGGCTGTGTTTCGGTTTGAAGGGTGGGATATGGCGTGAATTTACTGGGTACAGAGGAATAACACCTGAGTCCTCAGGAATGGGGGGATGGGCATGGGGGGTATCATGAGCGAAACAGTATACTCTGTTATGTCCATGGTACTACTCATGTCTATAGGCGACGGTTACCACTTTTCATCAGGTGGGCCGTCAGCTTGTTTGCCATTTTAAGTTACCATTTTTAGTTAGACGATATATGGTCTCAAAATTTTGACCGGCAGTGTACATGTAACTCCATTCTTTACCGTTCCAGCAACATTTTTAATATAAAATTCATGAATTAGATCTCTTTTATGTATACCTTTATAACTTGAAAAATAAATTAACTCAAAACTTGTATGTTTAAATGAAATTGTCAATTTTCTTATTTTCAGTTTAGGTACTCATGTATATATTAGTGCATATAAATTGTTATTATATTTCTTGAGTACTCCCATTAGACTTCATGAAGCATAACTTTATATTTTAAAATACTCTTATTGGCACCGTAAAGGTCTTTTGTTGTAAAACTATGATGTATATTTTGTGAATATTTATAAATGATTGTTTGTTGCCACAAATAAATTAATAAAAATTAAAAGAAATAGTAAATTTATTTAATTATATTTAATAGAGTCAATATACATTTATAGTCTATAATTAAGAAGCTGATGGAGACAAAACTTGAGTAACTCCACTTGTATCTAAAGACATTCTACTTGTGCCTGAATATGGCATGTCATCCTCATCCAAAGTTTCCCTCATTCTTCTTTTGTAAATTTCACTGTCTGGATTGTTTTCTTGATTGCGGCACCTGTCCAGTTTCTTTTCAATAATTTTGACTCTCTCTCGTACTGGATTCTCCACCATTTTGACTAAAGAACGAATTTTACGCACGGCCTCAATCAAAATAGCTAGTTTGTCTGGACCCGCATCTATAAATAATATCTCCGTGACATAACTATCCAGGTTCTCTTGTTCCTTGCTCGCTGAGTGAAGAACAGCAGCCAAAGCAATCTGAGATGGAGCATACAACAAACATGCATCAGTCAAAAACACTTTTTCAAGAAATTCGTCAATACCACTTCTTAACCGTTCCGGATTAGGAAGTGTACATCTCGTTTTTATGTCAATAAGAAAGCCTTCTACCGGCCTGAAGGGATTGTGAATAGTCAAATGATAGTTTAATTGCTGCATCAACAACAATTCATTATTTAATATAATATCCGACGCTTTCTCCCTGTCTCCTTTTATATTAGCAACAAACTGACCTATAGACACGTTGAATTCTTCCACTTTGCACGCTAAATAAACACAAGTAGCCAGAATTTCTTTCGGATGATAGTCCATTGTAGAATTGTACAAATAAAAACGTTTAAAGTAATGGAACGCAGTTCCTACGACGCCCTTTGGCATCGGTGGACTGAATCTTTTGCAAAACTCTTTCATATGAAGCTCGTATTGTTTTAACAGCAGTCCCTCTTCCTCAGGGGACAGGAAAATATTATACGGCTGATATTCATCAGTATTAGATCCATGCTTTGAAATGTATTGCAAATTATGTTTTTCTCGAAGACGGGCTAGTTCAGTCTCGTCACTGAATGTCCAAAATTTTCTCTGTGTGCTTGTGGAAAACATTTTATTAATATTAAAAAGTCATGAAAGTTATTCGAAAGAAAACAAACAAAAATATCTATAAAAGACCACAATCCACCGACGAACTATTCGCTGGACTTTTTCAAATTTTATGACAATTGCAAATAAAATTTTGAGTTTTGAGATTGACATAACGATGACGTTTGGTGACATTAGCAATTTAACTTTAAAGCCTCCATCTATGATTAGGAATATCGTAATTAATACTACTTTAGAACATAGGCACACTATTTCGACTTTATTTTCTTACGAGTGGCTGTAGAAAAAGTATATTTAATTTGATTCATAAAGAATTACATGTTTATCCCAGAATTATGTTATGGTGCTTATACTATGATCCAATAAACCAAAATCCTAACTGAGCTTTCAGCTATGCGCAAAAAGTCTGAAAATATATACTTATACACATTTTTAAGGGACCAAGCCGCTTTGAAAAATAATATATTAAACGGCATACATCTATAACTTAGGTCTATAATAATTAAACTAAAATCATTAGCTAACTAGTGTAACAAAAAGATTTGTTTTTAATTATTTTTTCTATTCAACACTACTAGTCTCTATCTGTGTCACAATCGAGCATTAATAATCATTTGAGTTCGAATTCGATACCAATTATCAATCTGTCAGTTCTATCGAGATAATATTCGAAGTAATTCGTTCATATTTGGCTGTTTGTCATCTAATGTAGAGATCAGTAGAAATCGAACTATTTTTTTTATTATAAATTAGTTCAACTGGTTGTTTTATTCATTTTATAAATATGTCGCGGCCGGGTGATAGACCAAATCAAGCTCAAACATACAAACTTGTAGTAGTCGGCGGCGGGGGCGTCGGGAAAAGTGCGATTACAATACAATTCATTCAGGTATTTATCTTCGCTTTGAGATAATTCATCTAATACAAATATTGGTATTTCTAATGTATGCGTACCTTGAGTTTTAGTCGTGCTAAGTGTATATAAATTAATTGTGGATTTCTTCATACTTAAAAATAGTTCATCAGTGATATTTGATGTCAAGGTCCCTTAATGGTAAGGCGCCGCCCACTGGCGTCACCAGCTGTTCCTGAAATGCCTTTTTATTGTTATTCCAGAGTTATTTCGTGACTGATTATGACCCCACTATTGAGGACAGCTACACCAAGCAGTGTGTCATTGATGACATACCAGCTAAGTTGGACAGTAAGTGGCATTTGATTATCCTGTGTAATCTAAATAAAATTGCCTGCATTTTTAATATTCTGCATATGTACATTTAATAATGTCTCTGGCTGGTCTGCTACATGGTTTTTTAATATTTTTAATTTAATAATTGTTTATTAATTCATAACCATTGTTATTTATTAAATTATACATATGAGTCATGCCCATCTTCAAAATTCAAACTTTTACTTATCTCCTTTATATTTGTTAATATTTTCATACAAGTCTATTAATTACTAGTGGTGTGCTACTATTTAGTGATGTACATCTATCTAGGCCCTGCTGACTGCTATATTCAACGCATGGGGGGTATCATGCGCGAAACAGTATACTCTGTTATGTACATGGTACTGCTCATATCTATAGGCGACGGTTATCACTTCCCATCAGGTGGGCCGTCAGCTTGTTTGCCATTCTAAGTAGTATAAAAAAAATTAAAATGCCCTTACTAGAATGTGAATGTCTGCATCAACTGTGGATTTTTAAAAATAAATAGTTTTTAATATTTCCAAGTATTCCAGCTATTTTATATTTTGCATTTGAAATTTTGAATGAATGACTATACTTTATTTGCATTATACAGTATAGAGAACAAGTGAGACAATCAATGTAACAATTGTATAAGTACAGTAGGAAATAATTTTTTATCATCTAAAACTAAAATTTCTTTCATAAAACTTTTTTAAATTTTCACTTAAATATAAATTCAGACTCAAAATAAACTTTATTAAGTATGCTTATACTAATTTTTTTTTTTATAAAAAAATTTCTTGTGATCTTACATTCATTCAGTTGATGCTGTCTGCATCAACTGTGGATTTTTAAAAATATTCAGTAGCCGGTCTGTGTGACTGAATATTAGAGAGAATAAAAGGAAGTAAGAAATATTAAAGATCTGCTTAGAGTTCTAGGAGTGATTGCAAATAAGAATTATAAAAATAGCAAATTTTAATATAACATCCTAATATCAAATTTAGTATTAATATTGGGTATTAAAAAATGTTTGCCATCAATGAGGAACTTTGATATTGCCCGTATCAGTTGGATGTCTATATTAATTTCTATCCAGATCTTTACTTTGGATAACTGATGTTTAATATATCCCATATTGGGCTAATATATATATATATGTATATATATTAAGTGTGGTATATATGTATATAAGTATTGTATATTTGTATATATATACACAAATTTGTGTATGTATTTATGTATGACCATAAATGTGCTTATTTACAAATGTTTAGCGTTACATTTATTTTTTAACGCGCCACCTACCCATCCATTCTTTAATTGCTTCTACTCAAAAGTTGTCTAGAAGAGATTGCTTAGTAAACTAGCGGCCCGTCCCGGCGTCGCACGGGTGGACATTTTTAACATTTCCCTTCACTGCTCTGCTCCTATTGATCGTAGCGTGATGAAAAGTATACTATAACCTGCCCAGGAGTATGAAGAATAATTGTACCAAGTTTCGTTAAAATTCGTGCAGTAGTTTTTGTTTCTATAGCGAACATACAGACAGACAGACAGACAAAAATTTTACTGATTCCATATTTTGGCACCAGTATCGATCACTAATCACCGCCTGATAGTTATTTTGGAAATATATTTCATGTACAGAATTGACCTCTCTACAGATTTATTATAAGTAAAGATAATATTATTTGAAAAGAAAACGAGCCGAGTTTCTTGTCAGTTGTTCTCATCTCGAAACCATTCCGAACTGACGGTAGATTTGACATATCATGAGAGTCTGGAATAGACCTACATGAATAAAGATAATTTAAATTTTTTTTTTTTTTTAAATTTTTATAAGGTCGCCTTTTGTACTACACCATGCTTAATGAAAATCCTTCAACAAGCCCTATAATGTTACTTAGTGCAATAAAGCATTAAAAAAATAAATAAAGATATTGATTTATAATAACCATCACTGATCAAAATCACTACAGAAGACGTCATCGATTACTACATAAAGCCGGTGTTGCCAATTTTGGTAGTGCGACGTGCAATGCGACATACCACTGTGTGTTGACACCGTACATATCAAATACACTGCCATTGACAGAGACTTTGTTTATCTATATATGTAAGGTTGTGGCCTTGGCTGTGACGACACTGCAGTGTGTACTATACCCACGTATTGCATTAATAAATAGTAAAATGTCGACAGTTATTGTTGTCCGTTGAATTAATGTAGTACATAGATATGATTTAAATCGGTGTTTCCCAACGTAGGGCCCACAGGGGTGGAATTTGATAATTTTTTTTATAGGGTGATAATGGAATGGTAACCCCACCCGCGTTAACGGTATACACCGGCGGGCCACCAGTGAAGGATGATAGGTGAGGATGAAGCAGGTCAGTTAGCCCATCGTGACGAATTCAACAAGAATTGTTCACGATGGTCTCCAGGGGAAACCACGTGGAGGTCGACCTAATAGGGCATATTGTTAGCAATGGGGCTGTCAGACTCTATTGCTAATAATCCCTTTCCCCCCGCAATTTGATAGTTAAGAACTTGCTCCGGGCCATTTAAATGCAATGCTACGAGTAGATATCGGTGCCAAATTAAAAAAAAAAAGTAAATTAAAAAATAAATACTGTACTTATTTATTAGATAAGATTATTTGATATAAATTAAATATAACTTTGTCAGGAAAAAATATGTAGGGGGGCATAAAAATGTTATAAATGTTCAAGTGAGGCATGGAACAAAAAAAGTTGAGAAACACTGGTATAAATAGATGGCGTAACTTGCATACTAATTGACTTCGTGGTGTTCTCTCATTATATTTATTTTATGCAACTTAGATTGGTAAAGAAGCTAACAGTCCATGTTATGAAGAGTGGTCTTGATCATAGCTTTCAAGTGCCCACTGCTGTACACAGGCCTCCCCCTATTGGGGGGTTTTGCCAGTAGTTGTCGTGCTTTATGTACATATTAATATTATAAAGAGGAAAGATTTGATTATTTGCTTGTCTGTAATGGATAAACTCAAAAACTATTCGACAAATTTTACAAAATTCTTTCGCCTATATAAATCTACTTTATTTATTTATTAGCGGGTATAACATAGGATATAGCTTATTGTTTTTCAAATTTCTGTCGACCCGTGCGAAGTCGGGCCGAATTACTAGCTTTCAACCGACTTTAATAAAGAGTAATTAGGTCGTGTATTTTTTAATGTAACATTCTTTTATCATATCTTTTTATAACATAAAAAATATACAACACGATGTAACTATATGTTACGAATAAATTGAATTAAGTTTGAATATGTTTGTCACCTTATAACTCCGTCAGTTGTAAACCGATTTGGATAATTCTTTTTTTACCTGAAAGAATATACTTACACATTGGTTCCGTAAAAATTTTATCAAAATTTATCCAGTAGTTTAGTTTTTAAAACAAAGGTTTTGCCCCAACTGAAGTTGGCTTTTTTGTGGAAATAACTCTTAAATTATCTAATAAATACATCTCGCCTCAGTTCTGGACACGGCGGGCCAAGAGGAGTTCAGTGCTATGCGCGAACAGTACATGAGGTCTGGCGAGGGGTTCCTCCTCGTGTTCTCAGTGGCTGACCACGCGAGCTTCGACGAGCTGTACAAGTTCCACAAGCAGATCCTGCGCGTCAAGGATCGAGATGAGTTTCCCATGCTTATGGTGGGCAACAAAGCGGATCTGGAGATGCAGAGAGTGGTAAGTGGAATAACGACTCTAAGCTACTCTTAAACTGCTTGGCTACTTCTCTTCCATTCGTGAGACAATGGAATGTTAACCCCGCTTGCGCTATCGGTATACGCTGGCGGGGCACCAGTGAGCGATGACAGGTAAGGATGAAAGCAAGTCAGTTAGCCCATCGTGACGAATTCAAGAATTAACCAATATATTTTCCAGAGATAAACGTATGGAGGTCTATCTGACAAGGCATTGTACTAGCAATGGCGATGTTAAACCCCATTACTAACTTTGTACAAAAGTCGATTGCTTGGGCACCTCTGTCCTATTCGTGTTTCAACCGTGAAGCAGTTGTGTTTGCATGGCTGTGTTTCGGTTTGAAGGGTGGGATATGGCGTGAATTTGCTGGGTACAGAGGGATAACACCTGAGTCCTCAGGAATGGCAACGCATGGGGGGTATCATGGGCGTAACAGTATACTCTGTTATGGCCATGGTACTGCTCATGTGTATAGGCGACGGTTTCCACTTTCTATCAGGTGAGCCGTCAGCTTGTTTGCCATTCTAAGTTGTATAAAAATAAAATTCTTTTCTCCCCGTCCCGCTCTTGTTTCTGCGGGACAACAACTGTGCTGTCATGGCATTACGGCGCCATTCAAGTATTGCTGTCACGGGGAAAACTTGAATGGGAATAAAGCTATCCATTCAAGTGACTTTTGTGAACTTTTCCTCTGTTCTATGTTTAAATTTCAAATCATCTTGTATTCAAATAGACATGTTTACAAGCACTTTTAAATCGACAAATTTTTTAATCCACTGCATGGTTTGGAAGTTCGTTATCTGTTGAGAAGAGCCCGCAAGAAACTCAACAGTTACTCTTTTAAATCTCTGTTAACATTATGTGTGTTCTCTTCAATAGGTCTCAAACCTCCAAAATTTTCTATCGACTCCATCAACTGCTTAACCTGTAAATCGTAAAATCCACAATGATAACTCACCGCCCATCAATCCGCATCAGAACATGCTCTCAGTACCTATTTAATTTAATGGGGGGAAAGGGATTGTTAGTAATGGAGACTGAGAATCCCATTGCTAGCAATATACCCAACCAGGTCGATCTCCTCGCGGTTCTTCCTGGAAACTATTATGGTTAATTTCTGATGAACTCATCATGATGGGCTAACTGGCCTGTTTTCATTCTCATCTATCACCCTTCACTGGTGCTCCGACAGCGTATCCCGTTAGCGCAGGCGGGGTTACCATACCATCATCACCCATCAAAAAAAAGTACCTACTTGATGATGAAGCCCAAATTCTTCACCCATATAATTACCTAATCGACTGCAAACTTTAGCATATGCGAGCGTACATCAAAAGCGCAACCGCAAGTGCTTGGGAATCCAAACCCAGTACATTGAACAAAAAAAAACATGTGTGTTTATTTAAATGTACTATGTCTAAAATTACACGATCGTTAAAAGCCCGTGCATGATAGACTAAGATGCACGTTTGTCATTCAAGTAATCGTTTAGTGTGTAATAGGCTAGTAATAACATAGTTTATAAGAGACGCCTAATAACGCCATCATTTAGGTAAACCATGGCAATTTACTAGAATTATCTCTACGTTTCGACCAGGTTACACCGGTCGCGGTCACCAGTAGACTGATATAGCGCTCTCATGTCTCCGCTTCCGAGGCAGAAGTCTGGGGGGAAGGGATTGTTAGTAATGGGGAGGATATATTATTATATCACCTTAATTTATTTCACCAATAAAAAAATCATGCAAAGAAAGGTTAAAGTTTTATGCAATAAATGTAATGATGAATCATTGTTTGTTTACCTCGGTGATTCATTACGATGAACCGTGACGTCCAACCTATTGAATGGGAAAAAACAATCTTATATATGTTTTCTAACAGATATGCGTCACTCGAAATTATAAGCCACTTTTTCCCTTTCCATCATTACACGTGCATCTAATTTCTTTCCTTATATCTTGCGCCGTAAAATCCTTTTTCGAACAATTATGTAAAAAAATGATTACCATATGCTATAAAAATTATTAATAAATTGAAAAAATATCTCTCTTCTATCCGGGTTGCGGGGGGGGGGGGGATGGCAATGAAATTACAGTGTGCGGTAACGTAACCTCAAAAATGGCAATAAAAAATAGAGATTGCTTCAAATTCAACGTTGGAGTGGGGTAGACCCATGACGAAGTCATCATGGGGCTACGTTTAGACCCCAAGTATCAGGCTTTGTAAAATTTGCCCAAGTGTCTCAGTAAAAAATGACAATTTTGCTCCGCGTCGTCACGGTGGACAGATTTTTCAAGAGCATAAGGTAGACTAAGGTCAGCCCTGCTTTTGGGGAGGAGAGACAGGTGCCCAGCAGTATATTAACATGGTCATCCGTATTCTAGGTATCACTAGAGGCGGCCCAAGCGCTCTCCCGCCAACTGAAGGTCCCGTACATTGAGTGCAGTGCCAAAGCGCGGATGAACGTGGACCAGGCGTTCCACGAGCTGGTGCGGCTCGTCCGCCGGTTCCAGGAGGCGGAGAGGATCAACAACAAGTCCAACTACACGCCGCACAAGAAGCGGACATGCGTTATGTTGTAACAGAAGACTGTTGTAAGCTTTAATTACGTATATGTATTATATTAACCAACTCCAATTCGATTGTACAATGCGGACTCCGAGTCGGAATCGTTAGAGTTGTCTTAAGTTGTTCTATTGATTGAAACTGCTGTTCGATGCACAATAAACAAGTACATTTTTCAATACTCTAATTATCAAAGTAATAAAAATTGTACAAGTGCCAATGATAAGTTTATTACCATAATAAAAATAAATTGATAGTGTTGCCACCTACAAGAAAAAAACGCCTTATAATACAGTGTGAATTGCCAGTAAAGAAAAAAAAGGTATGTGGGTAGAAAATGATAAAAAAAATGAAATCTTGATATTTTCGTATTTTTTTTTAATTATGCTTTAGTGGTAATTATTTATATCGCGTTACTCGCCTATTAAATTCGAAGATGTCCCGACTTGTTTCGAACGCGACTGGACTAACATTTGCGACACAACCGTGATCAGCGCTCCTGAATAAGGCCTCTTATTGAGTTAGGAACTAGTTGGGAATTCCCGAATTGAAAACTTGAGTGAAACCGATATAAATAATTCCAATATGATTCACAATAGTTATTATTTAACATACTGTCTTTATTGGAATATAATTTTTTTATAATTAATGTTTTTAAAACAATATGCAATTAGTAAATTGCCAGTAAAATGGCTAATTATAAATATTTTAAGCTTTCCACACTAATGTAACAGTTAGTATGGGAGCCTCAAACAATAGTATCCCATACTAATTGTGCATTCAGCCCCAATTTTTTTTTTTTTTTAATTTCTTTGGAATATAATTACAGTTTAACTGGTAGAACATTAAGAGAATGCTAATGATTTCGATCCAGCCTGTATTTTGTAAACTGACAGATGTTGGTTGATGTTCACAAATTTGAGTTATACAGGGTGTGCAAGTGCAAAATAATTAGTAATACAGCATTATAGGGGTTGATTACTACGTACTGAAATATAAAATCTTAACATATTTTACATATGAATGCATTTTTATGTCTGGTCATAACTATGGGTCTACCATGAAATGAAATTCCGAAATTTCGGACTGAATTTCGTGTTTTTGTTTATACCAAAATAGTACCAATAAATGGAGTTTAACATTTCGTTCGTCATACAATACTATCATAAAAGTCAAAAGGAACAATATTTTAACATTTTTAATATTTCCAAACGGCATGTATTATGTAATTTTAACATTAAATTTCTGTTTCGTTTGGCTCCGAAATTTCGGGAAACATTTCACGGTACGCCCTCTGGTTGGTCAAAAACGTATCTGCTGCCTCAAATATATCTCAAATTTGAAAACAACAACGGGACATTTGGAAAAGTTTTTTTATATACATATAAATATGATTTTGATAGCTCTATAACTAAAAATAGGACGCAGAAGCGGTATTAAACAGGTGTTAGAGTCAGCGCATGCTGTAACCAGTACTGTTAGAACGATTGTCTAATGCAAATAATATGCGTACTCAGGGAATTGTCGATATATGCGAAAAGTTTACATGTTAGATTTAAGAGCATCGAGCTATCATACATGTATATCCACCCTTTGTGTTCTTTTATTTCAGTTTTGACAGTTTGATTACTAATTTATTCTCTCAAAAAGCAATATTAATTCTTAGAAACAAATTAGTATTGCTATATTTGTTTCTCTATTCAATAATGCACCGCCTACGTATTTCTCGGTTCGCCCAATGGTCGACTGGTAGAGAACACCGTCCGGTGTTAAGTCCGCCAAATGGACATAGAATTTTACTGTGCGTTAAAGTTTAAATGAATAAATAAATATAAATATTTTTGCAATTTTAGAAGCAACAAGTGATCTAAAATGTTTGGTGTGTCCCAATGAATTATGTGACAAGACTGAGACTTTTTTTTTATTTATTTAGCATGCATAAATACATTTAAAAAAAAAACTGGATTTTTAGTTAAATCGTATATAAATACGAAAGTAAGTGTTAACGCTTTGTTTCTGAATGGCTAAACCAATTTCATAATTATTTATCATGAAGTAGAACAAAGAAACGGAACTCTTTTAGAGTTAAGCTCGCCTTTATACGTTTACTTACCTCTGTCATGTTTTTTTATGTATTATTAGTGTTTACAATGATATATAAATAAGTAAATAAATCCGGCATAGTATAGTCCACCTTTTCCTGTCCCATGAGTGTCGTAAGATGCGACTAAGGGAGGGCGAGGGATGGCCAGCAGCATACCTCTTAAAACATCTCCAAAGCCTAAGCAAAGTGTGGCAACTGCTGGCAAAAATACCCAAGGGGCAAAAATGCACAAATACCATATGTTCAGCAGTGGACAGTTAAAGGCTGGTATGATGATGAAGTAAATAAAAGCCTGGCCTTCAATATGTCACGGATACACAATGTTAAGGCCATATCAGATACATAATAAATGGTTATAATTAAGATTTACGCAGTTAAAGCTTAAATTTCATAAAATCTATAACTGGTTTTTTTTTACACAACTTAGAATGGCAAACAAGCTGACGGCCCACCTGATGGAAAGTGGTAACCGTCGCCTATAGACATGAGCAGTACCATGGATATAACAGAGTATACTCCGCCCATTACCCCCCATCGTTGCCATTCCTGAGAACTCAGGTGTTATTCCTCTGTACCCAGTAAATTCACGCCATATCCCACCCTTCAAACCGAAACACAGCCATGCAAACACAACTGCTTCACGGTTGAAACACGAACGGGACAGAGGTACTAAAGTAATCGACTTTTGTATAAAGTCTCCCTCTGGTAAGGTGCTGTATTCTCAAGCGGTTGTTAAAATTAAAATAAAAGAATATAAAGGGTATAATAGAAATAAATAATATTAAAGTGTTAAATGAATAATATTAAAGTTCGTTGGTTACATGTGACCCGAGTTGCTCGATCTATATGTAATAGATTGAGCTCATTGAGGTGTAGAGGCTTCAAACTTGTATTGGGCTCCGAAAGAACTTGTCAGTTTTAACTATGAGTCTTTTTTATTATTTGGATTATCATAAATAGATAGATAGATAGATACTATTTATTGTTTCCTCCAAAAGATTACAATAGTAAATCATAATGTCTATATAATTATAGTCCATGATCAAAGACTAAGTACTGCTGTACTAATAAAGAAAATAGATAATGAAAAAAAAATACAGGCAACGGAAACCTTTTTTTGTATTTAGCAGTTTTTTTTTTTATTATAGTGTCTAAAATAGAAAGTTTGTTTTATAGTTCTTCATCTTAGAATAATAATGATTAGATTTGAAAAATAGATTTTTTGGCTCCAATATAAATTTGAAGCCATATTTAACACCATATTTGGTAATCAGATGTCATAGTGCACAACTGTTTTTTTTTTTTTTTTACAAAACTATGACATCTCATCCCCGAATAGGTGTTTAATATTTTTATTTTGAGCGAATATTTATTTTTTGTATAATTTCCTTTATAGGTTGTATAACACTGGAGTGAATTTGTACTATACAGGATTATATTTATACTGAACAATGCAGTTACATTTTGTTTATATCAATAGTTACATTATATTTTTGTATTCACACGAGTGATTTTTGTTTATATTCCTTATACGATAAGGTATTTATTTTGGTTAATGTTTTAGGTTATTTTTAAGTAATGTTTAGCCAGTATCTTTTCTGTTTTTTTTTTTTTTCTTATTTTCGGTTGAAATATCATAATTGTTTTTCACGATAAAATTTGAAATCTTACATACAAAAACTCCAAATGTTTGTTTTTATCTGCCCTAGATAGATTGACAAACAAAATGTCTGTAATCATTTTTAATACGTCGCACTAGCTTAACCGATAAGAATAATATATCAAATATTTTTCTTAATCTTATCAATATTTGTCATAGATTATGTTTTGGCAATGTATTATAGAATTTTCGATTTGTCTATGGTGCCATACAGAAATCATAATAATGTCACCAAATAGTTCTTAATATGCCTATCTGTGGCTTTAAAGTTCGAGTAATCGTTTTCTAATTTTCTTTCATTTATTATAATTGTTCTTTGCGGGTGAGGGAAGGAGACAGAGAATAACTTTTTTAATTGTTGATAATTTGAAATAATACTAGATGTGGCAATAAACAGTATCTTATAAGACAAATGTGGAATACACTTTGCAGTGATTGTACTATTTTCAATGTATTCCTTAAAATGTGTTACATATGCTTAGTTCCGCCATGTTTACTGTTTAATTGATTAATTTAATATTATTTATATAAATCATTAATTAAATATATAAATAATAAGAAAATTTAACAATACAAATATGGAACTATGCTAAAACAAAGTTATTAATGTCAATATAATAATATTACACTAAGTATGCATTTGAAAAGGTAATACTAAATTTTAAATTAAATTTCTTAACTTTTTTTTGTACAGTTTCCTTTCGTCACAGACGAAGAACATGGTAACAGAGTACTAAAGTTAGCACATATTTGATGGTGCTGCAAAGCATAGCTACTATATTGCACAATTCTTGTAAGCTATGACAGGATCTAATCCTCTATTAATTTTTGTTCACTTTTTTTTAATTCTACAAGCGAAAATGCACCAATGTAATGTGGTTAACTCGAATAAAATATTTCCGAAATAATTATGATGTGTTTGAAATTGAATATCTAAATTTAATGTTAAAATTATAAAGGGTAAGGTACATTTTCGCTTGTAAATGTAGTGTTATAATTTGAAATACCCATTAATACAGTTGTTAAAGAGTTTTCAGTCGGCAATTGTAATAAAATTTAATATTTATCGCCTAATTGTGTAAAATATAAGCTGTAGAATGTATAAGAACTGCAAGAACGACGTGCAGTTACGTCATGAAACCAAATACTAATTCGTATGTTTTCTTTAATATTCTTCCGACAGTGATTTACTTTAATTTAGCGCGTAAAATAGTTTTGCGAATGGTCTCCCAGTGGGTAATTTAATAGAATAATAATAATTATGCTATAATTGTAATTTACTGACATGTTTACTAAAGATATGATATTGTTAGAACAAGGATAAAAATAATTAACTCATGATTGTCCGAAGACAAAACTGGAATATCATATTGAATAAAATGCGGGCAAAATAAATAATTCGAAGCCTTCAAAATCATGATCATTGAAAACTAGTTTAAATAAATAAAATATTTGTTTTCTAATGTAAACTATTTTTCGAGTAATAGTTGACAGCTTGAGGTCATTGACATTCCGTTCTGATTTATTCCTGTTTTGTCTCTTTTGTTTCGAACTAGTTCTGATACAAATAAGAAATTTTGTTCCCCATTTGTTAGATTACGATAATAAAGTGACGAATCTGGAATTTTCGACGTATATATATTTATATAATCATATCAAGACTGCTATGTGAATTTGGAGTTTCACATAGAACTCTTGCAAACAATAGTAAATTAATTTTAGTAAAAGAGATGTATATTTTTATATTGTAGTAATTGGGCTTAACGCAGTTTTTGCTAAGCATACACATTAGTTGGAGGCAGACACGTTTTGATATGCATTTTACAAATTATTTAAATGAATTTAGCTTATGACGTTGTCGAGGACAAATGGTTTTATTAGCTTTCAATGGATAACATGTGTAGATAAATATACTTACATAATTAATTTCTTTAATTAAACACTCTTTCTTTGTGATTTCACTTTTCAATCTATTGTTTTTTTTTTTTTATTCATCTGGCATATGTAGTAAATAATCTTTGTTTTTTTTTTTAGAAATTATTAGAAACGAGCCATTTGTGCTACACAAAAAAAAACTGTCCTGTTAAGAAACGAACTATAACAAATTTGTATATATGTATATATATTTAATTTTATTCAGGCATTTAAAGATATGGTAAATAAAGCAACATATCTTGTTCAGGGTTCATGTAGAACTCTGAACTGTTGGTAATGAAAAAAAAAATATAAAAATACATAATACATAAAATCTTTTTATTCTTTATCAAATAAATAAAAAAAAATCAAAGATTATTTATTAATATACCGTAGTAATTTGCGAATTGGACATTATTAAAGTTGAATTTTTAGCCTATTGTATTGTTTTGGTGCTGATCTATAAAATTTCAATTTGCAAATGCAAGTAATTCTGTTAATAGTTTAAATGTATGATTAATACATCCAAAATTAAAAGTTGTTCGACACCCCCCCCTCTAACCTTTGTCCACGGTGGACACAATTTGTGTCCTGGTGCAATAAGTCTACGAAAAGCTTTAACTACGGGCCCCTGCTGCCTGTTAATTAACTAAACCACAAACTGTTGTCCGGCTTATTTTATTGTATTATGTAATAATATACATTATGTAACTATTTTGTTGTTTTATTGTTTTTAGAAATACATTTAGTAAATATCTTAGTTTTTCTAAGTGGCAACACATGATGACTAGCGTAATAATCACAGTAGATGTCTGTAGGCGAAAGTTAACAGTTTATCAAGTGGGCCGTCATCTTAATGATCACTACATACTTACTGTATTCAGTGGCTTCACCCGTAAAAGTTCATTTCCGAAATTAGCCCATACGATAATTGAATACATAACCATTTATACCACAGAATGTAACATACTAGATTTATACAAAGCGCCACACGTGTTAAATTTCATACCCATAAGCTTTACGTTTGGAATTTCTATCCGAATGAATATGGCGAATCAAGATCTGGTGGATATTTTTTTCTTTTTTCTAAAAACAAAAAAGATCTGGTGAAATAGTCGAAACTATGATATTAGAGGAAAAATTTGTTTGTTTGTAGTATAGTAAACTTTTAGAAGACAATTATATATATATATATATATATATATATATATATATATATATATATATATATATATATATATATATATATATATATATATATATATATATATATATATATATATATATTATAAGCAAGTAATATGGGCTATAATTTATCTAAGTTTTTGACCTATTTACCTGTGCGCAGCCGGGATAAGTCACTAGTCAATTAAGTAAAAATCTAATAAACTTGGAACATGATTTATTTCATTATATTACAATATTATAAATTACTAAATGATTGATGACTCCCATTTACTTCCTGGCGGCGGCCAGCGCGCTCAGGTCAGCGATGCAGCGGTCCAGGGTCTGCTTCTCCTGGTCTGGGGTGATGGCCTTGGTCACATTGGCGACTATCCATTCAACCATATGCTTTTGGGATAGGCGGCGTTCCACATTCGCCTTCTCGAGTTGGTAGTCCAAGCGTCGCTTTACCTGGAAAGTGTGATTTATTGTTTTAACTTCTGTACCTGATGATCATTACAATGATGACTACGTTTATAGATGACAGTCATATATTATACAGACATATTTGTATATTTATGTAATATTTGTTTAATATATTCATGTATGTATATTTATATAATCTCTATTGTATGTGTTGTAATTTTTTTTCACCGCATATTCAAATTTCTGTTTAGCCAAAGGTTGACTGCGAGAGAATGCTATATAGTATTAAGTCCGCCTTTTGTGCCAGACATTATTTTTTTGTAATGTGGTCAATAAAGTATAAATAAATAAATAACTTTTTATCAGATGGGCTGCCTATTTGTTTATTACAAGTTATATAAGTATAAGAAAGTGTGTCCATTACCCCCTCCCTTTCGATTATGTTTTTCTAACAGGAGTCATGCCTCTAGCATTTGACGTACAGGTACTGCTACGAAAATGGTGACCTTATATTTTAATTTCTTATTTTTTTAATTTTTCTATTTACAATAATTTTAAAATACTGTAAACTTTTGCTCTATATTCTATTTTATTACTGTATAAATGCGGTGAAGAGTTAAATAAATAGATAAAAAAAAGTCCAGCAGGATGGTACGGGTATAATTTTTCATGAAAGTGTTGGATAAATTTGATAGGATTGGTTAAAATAAAAAGGTATTTATTTATTTTTATTTATATATTATGTAAACAGAGTATGGGAGGGGGAAGAGGGACGTGGCAAACTAACATTTATATTTTTCTCTTATTCACAAAAATATAACACCCCACAAGTGGACGAGAGGTTGATGGGCAGAGGAGAGAGTGCACCATATTCCAATAAGGGAAGGGAGAAGACTATTCCAAATAAAATGAAAATACCTCATGTAATAAATTAAGTAGACATCTTTAACAGGCTAGGCATGCTGAATGTGTCCAAGAAATAATCACTCACTTCACTGTACGCGTTCATGACACGCTCCCTGTACGCAGCCTCCAACTGCAGGAGAACATTCTCTTTTTTGGCCTCGATGAGCTGCTCCTGGCCCTGAGCACGCCACTGCGCCTTCTTTTCATTCTCGATCGCCTCCTGCAGGTCTGTGATGGTCTGCTGGCGGCCCGCGTTCCAATCCTTCTCTACGGACTGTAAAAAAAAATACAGTTACCTGTAACAACTTGATAATATTCTGTATGTAGTTAAAAAAGTAACAAACTTCATTGCTGTATATTAACCAGCCCGCAAGAAAAAGTACAAATGAATTTATTGATAAAATTGTTATAGCTATAGTCCTTGAGATAGAATGAGATAGTGACATGTGCTATCTTGTTTTTTCTTATGTGATCGCTGACTGAAGTGTTTCTATCGACAAATTTCTTTGTACCTTGTCCTTGGCTTATTACTGTTTTCAATTATAATATATATATCCTTTAAACACACAAGACTAGGAATATGTAACAGAATGCTGTGATGAGTTAAGTAAATCATGGGTAAAACTCCTTAGAATTATTAGAAGCATTTTCGTATTTATGACATTTATCGTGAACATTGTAGTACCACGTAATGGCAGACTATATTTGAATACCTTTCATAATAATAGCTTTTTTAATTAAAAGATACATAAGTGAGGGTAGTTCTAGAAAACACCGATATACAAAATTATTGATATCCAACTGTCTGTCAGTGTTCATTTTATGTTAAGGATGTTATTAACTTCTATACATGAAAGCCCAAAAACTGAAAGCAGTTCTATACTATATATATGTAATATAAAGGGTATGGATTTCATTCTTTGTTTCATCATCATCATATCAGACATCACCTATCCACTGTGCTGTGCTGAATATAGGCCTGTCCCTTGGGTGGGGTTTTACCAGTAGTTGCCACTGTTTCACGACAGGCGAGTTGGCAACCACAGATCGACTTTGATATGTTTTAAGAGGGACACTGCTAGTTCTTAGTTTATAAAAGAAAAACTCAAAAAATACTCCACTGATTTTCAAAATTCTTTTACCTAAAGAAAACTACAATCAAAGTGGCATGCATGTATTGTACATAAGTTTATCTTCTGAATAATTAAACTCACCTCCACTTCCTTGTCTAACCACGCAGCAAGGTTTGGTCCAAACTTCTTGGTCGCGATGTAGACCATCACCAGCAGAGACAGACCAGTGTAGTACTCATGCTCCAGCACATAGATCTCCTTGCTGAACAGGTATGTGGCGAGACCAACTCCGAATGTGTATGGACCAGTCACACCAGTCTTCGAGTGGAAGAATTGGAACCTGGAAGCATAAATTATATAATGTAAATTCCCAACTGATCTTCTATGGAGAAACAATGTTATTTTTATAGGAATGTTAGTATATAAGTAACAATATAATTGTTGGAACAGTAACAGACTTCAAACTCAAAGTTTTTCTTTTTCATGCTATTTAGAATGGCAAACAAGCTGATGGCCCACCTGATTTGAAAGTAGGAACCATTGCTTGTAGACGTAAGCAGTACCATGGACATAACAGAGTATACTGTTTTGCTCATGATACCCCCCTATGCATTGACATTCCTGATGACTCAGGTGTTATTCCTCTGTGCCCTGTAAATTCACTGGCATATCCCAACCTTCAAACCGAAACACAGTCATGCAAACACGACTGCTTCACGGTAGAAACACGAATGGGGCAGAGGTGCCCAAGCAAACGACTTTTGTACCAAGTTTCTCAAGTCTACCAAGATTCTGAAGAAACCTAGGTGGGTGATATTCCTATGAACACTGCCATGGTGAGAGATGATTACATGTCAGTGGAGCATAAATACATCATTATTGAACACATTTTTTTTAATTCTGAAATACTTACAACCATTGACTCCATGTATATAATACTAATATTACAAATGGGAGGGGGGGGGGGGGAAGGGATTGTTAGCAATGGAGTTTGATAGCCCATTCCTAGCAATATGCCTTATTAGGTCGACCTCCTCGTGGTTCCCCTGGAAACCATCATGAACAATTCTTGTTGAATTCATCACGAGGGGCTAACTGACCTACTTCATCCTCACCTATCATTCTTCACTGGTGCCCCGCCGGTGTATACCGATAGCGCAGGTGGGATTACCATTCCATTATCATCCATTAAAAAAAAATATATATTACAAATGTGAAAGTTTTGTAAAAATATATGTTTACGAATTTGAATGTTCCTTATTCAAACATTATTTTATGGGTAAAAGGCTATATTTCATTTTACAATAACATGAAAACTTACAGTTAGTTTGAGGAATACATTCTCTACAGGAGCCATTTGTTATATATTTTTTTACAAACACAGGGGGCAAACGAGAATGTGGCTCACCTGATGGTAAGTGACTACCACCACTTATGATCACCCACAATATCAAAAGCACTGCAGATGTGTTGCCGGTCTTTAAAAAAGTAATATACTCTTTTCTTGAAGATTATGTTGTCATATCTGTTCGGAATTAATGTAAGAAGTCATGGGAAACACTCAATTTACTATATGGTAACAAATGTTTTAATTCTTAATACCATTCTTCAGGGATAAATCCAAGCCTGACTTTTCCGGGTTCCCCTCTCACGGGACGAGGGAAATTCTTCTCGTCACGCACACCACTGTCGGTGGCGGAGCCTCGCGCCACCAGCGCCGTCGACGCGGACTGGCGGGCAGCAACTATGATTAAAAACAAAATAATATTTTTGAAAATTACATTGTGTTATTAACATTAAAAATTATTATTATATTATACTATTCATTACAGAGTTATTAATGTTGATATATATATATTATTATATATATAAATATTTTTCTCTTTTTCTGTGCATCTAATATTGTATAGACCTCATTTAACTCAAGATAGGGATTTCCACTATCTTGGGTTATTCTTAAACATAATGGTCTTGCAATTGACTTAACATAAATTTAATGGAATTTCTGGCTAATAAATAAAAAATACATAATTAAAGATTATGTTCCACAAAAAACAGATTTCAACTGTGCCACCAAACAAAAGCACCCAAAAAAAATTAAAATTTATTTTGGACTATTATCAAGAACTGATTTTAATGAAATACTTATGGAGCCAATCTGTAAGTATACCCTTTTAAATAAAAGGGGAATTTTCCAAATTGGTTTAGAACAGTCAGAGATATGAGGTAGCAAACATAAAAACTTAATACTTAATCCTATCTATGTGGGGGGAAAGGGATTGTTAGTAATCTGACTGAGACTCCCAGTGCTAGCAATATATTCAATCAGGTCGACCTCCTCGTGGTTCTCCCTAGAAACTATCATGGTTAATTCCTGATGAATGTATCATGATGGGCTAACTGGCCTGTTTTCATTCTCATCTATCACTCTTCACTGGTGCTCCGCTGGCATATCCCATTAGCGCGGGCGGGGTTACCATACCATTTTCACCCATAAAAAAAAACCTATATGTGAGTAAAGGTATACCTGACAGACTCATTTAACAAACTTTAGATACAGGGGAGAAGCAACAAGCGACTGCAGTAACAAGGACTTGCAGTCTCATCTCTACCAATATATCCTATTAGGTTGACTTCTATGTGGTCCTCCTAGGAACTATTATGTTTAATTGCTAAAGACTTCATCATGATAGACTGACTGGCCTGATTCCACTCTCAATTGTGGTGGTACATTGGTATCCATCAGTATATACAGAGAGCATTGATAGGATTACCACCTCATTTTCACTTATTAATAAAAACCTTACAAACATACATTTCTTGAAAAGCTGACATAGTCATTCATGGTGCTGAAGCCTCAACAAAAATTATAATTCATAAATAGTTTATACTTTTTTCAATATACCTCTTCTGTAATTTATTATTGTGGTGCTGAACAAATTATTCTTACGTTGAGTTACCTTTTGAAATGGAATTCAATCTCAAAATTATTGGTCGTAAGCGTAGGTCACAAATTAAGTCTAAAGTTTATAGCAAGAATAAGTTGAAAAAAATTGTCTGGAAGATCAATAGGTCAAAATAGATGGAAGTCTCAAGATTATTGTTCTTAAAATTCAATTATTATTTCTTGGTCCAACAAAATCATTTTCAAGGACCAAAATACTACAAAATTGAATATATAAGTAACAATTTGATATCCAAAAGTAGATATTTTTTCTTTTGACTTGACAGAACGAATGATTACATAAACTTCTACCGTGTAGGTTAAGGTTAATTATTTAGATTTTAGTAAACAGTAATTTAAATATAAAAACAAATTATATGAATTAAATAAATTAAAATTACCTGTACGCAAAGCTGCTCGTGATAACATTTTTTTAAAGACAAAATTTATAAATTTGTAAATTTATGAATGTCTCAAAAAATGTACTTTGCGCCAGTGATGTACTATTAAAGTATAGTTGAGTTGAACGGCCATAATCGATATCGTACTTTATTAAATCTATCGATTAAAGTAATACAGTAATTTATATAAAAAATTTGATTAAATTTGTGATTACAAATTTATTTCAAGTATTAATCATTTTATGTAAGATAATTACAATATAAATTTTATTAATATGAAATGTGTTTAAGATGAACATATCCTTTATCTATGCACATTTTGTAGACAAAATATATATTTATAAATAAAGACTTATAATACCAATCAGAAAATATTATTATTCCGTATCAGAAAATATTTTATTTCTTAAATTCACTGAATTGTTTGCATAAAGTAATCTGTAAATGATCTGTCGTTCATATATGTTGCAGTTTATAGAAAAAGACACAGAACTTCTCTATAAGTACACTGATAAGCAGAAAAATTTAACGATGCTCACTAAACCAAACTATATTAGTATTTCTGTTTAATATTTCCATTTCTCGTGTACTTTAAAATATTTCTTATTAGAGATGACTGGAAATATATTTAAGTACTACAACCCCTAATAAACCCTGTGATGGAACACATATTATTTGACTTATTATCATCACTACATCAGCTGTTAACTATCCACTGCTGAACACTACTAAAGCTATCACACTTTGCAGGTTGGTTGACCACCGCAGTTAGACTTTGATGGTGTTTTAGAGAAGACACTGCTGCCCATTCCTCGACCATTAAGTTCCTTTAGTCGCCTTTTACCATATTCACGGAAAAAAAAGAGGTGGCCTATTCTATATAAGCTCTATGCGGCTAATTATTTATTTATTTTAATTAGACACACAATAAATTATAACCATTTTAGGTTTATATATATAGGTAATTATGATTTTTATACTAGGCTATAATTCAAAAACATATGTACACAGCATGATTAACATTTAGAGAAAACATTTAAATTTCGTTTGACATAAAACATAAAAATTATTAAATAGCCACTCATATAGTTTTTTTTCTTTTCTTTTTTTACTTATATTGGGACTAATCTGGTTAAATGTACCTAATATATGTTAACTGGGGGGAAAGGGATTGTTAGTAATGGAGTTTGACAGCCTCATTGCTAGCAATATGCCCTATCAGGTCGACCTCCACGTGGTTCCCCCTGGAAACCATCGTGAACAATTCTTGTTGAATTTGTCACGATGGGCTAATTGATCTGCTTCATCCTCACCTATCATCCTTCACTGGTGCCACGCCTGTGTATACCGATAGCGCGGGTGGGGTTGCCATTCCATTATCATCCATTAAAAAAAAAAAAAATATGTTAACTGTATTTAGGCCGGATTCTCTTTATAACGTCGTTCTTAGTTCGCACTCGGTTCTATCTTGAACTAGTAAAATATTATTACGTAAGAAATACTGTGTGTGTTTACTCTACTGTTCAGTTCTCGAATTGTTTCTACTAACCGTACTGAGAGCGAACAGAGACCGGCGTTATAGTGAAGATCCAGCTTTATTATTGTTATATCAATTACAAATAGTAGCATAGTACCTATAGACCTACTTAATATGTTTACTAAATGTTTTGTGACCAGTATGATTACTAGATTATTAACTTAAGTTACACAAAGTTTTGTATTGAGCAAATAAAATATACCACGGGTTTTTTTTATTTTAAATTAAAAACTTTATACCCAGATTTATTAATATTCATATCTTAAATATATCTACTCATTTTACAGTCTATATTGCTTTTCAACTTGAATGTTATCTATAAAAATATTTAATATATTGTCATATATATATTACTCCTATATAAGTTTGCAATATTAAGTATACAAGTAAGTTTTTGCACTTGCGCTTCGTTGACGAATTCTATTGATCTGTTTATGATTCAGTTTTACATTTTGTTAAGCCACATTTTTCTTTTGGATAATTTATACCGGCTTTTGTAGTTTAAAAGTCACTTAGTTGCTTACTTATCATCAAGTTTGTTTTTAACATTTATATCGATATGGCCAATATTCATTCCATAAGGCATCAAATGGTAGGTGGATAAAATTACATTATTAAAAAGTGTAGATATTTTAATATTTTATTGTATGTTGATGTTTATTGTTTAAACACCTACCTATGTTTTATTTGAAATGTTAAAATTAAGATATTATTTAATTTAATAAATCTACAGAATTATTTTATTGTTTTAGATATACACTTAATAATTACATTTTATTTTATTATATGTTATTACTATTTCTCACTCTCTCTGTCCTTTTCTAATTGATAATATTTCATGAAAATTCAATTTTATTCTGACTAGAAATTTAATAATATACTTTGATTATATATTTCTTTTCAAAATGCTAGCATAAGACGTACAGCAGATATTATTTGTTTCTATGGAAAGATCTGTAATTTCCCGTTGAAATATATAAAATAATTCTCAGATATAATGCAATATCTTAAAAAAGTATAACTTTAAAATGTCAAACTATTACAAGTATAGAAAATAGATAAAAATTTTAAGACTCAATTGCGCTTGTGCGAAATTAACGATCCATTATAAGTCTCTGGTACATAGTTTTGTTCTAGAATGTAACTAGTCCCTTGAAATAAAATTAAGTAGCATTAATAATCAGATTTAAGAATTTATAGCAATGTAGATTGTATTTAAATTTACTATTTACTTTATTTAAAAAATATTTTTTTAAATTATCATATTCTAATTGATATCACTTTAAAAGTATTGTTAATAAATAAAATAATGACACTATAATAATATACCTAACATTATTATTTATTTGCTTGAATTTGTTGAAAGAAAAACTTTTTAAATCACATGACACGCTACTTCTTTATACAACACTATTTTTAAATTACATAGTGTCGGAACGTCATGTGTCACGTCAAATTCAAAAAGTCAAAAATATTTCGTCAACAAAGTGTTTAGTGTTATTTTTGTCTGCTTTTCCTGTTTATGTATTTTATTTTATTGTACTGTTTGTAAAAACATAATTTCATTGATGCATATACTTAGTTTTTCTTGAAAATGGGGATATTTATGTCCTGTTGTAAACCTTCTGCTTCAGATGTGTTGACTCCTGACGCCGTAAGTTCTGAAAGTTTTTTTTAATGATACTGAAATGGTAACCCCGTTTACGTTAACGGTATACTCTGGCTAATAATCAATGTCTCGCTGCTGGGCAGGCTCTTGGTCTAATGTTAATAAGAGAAAGTTAGCCCTCTTACCACAGAGACTAGGCGATTTATGTATTCTGTATTCGTGTAGTCACTTCTGGCTTTCTAAGAATGACAAAGTGTAGGGACACTTGGTATTCTCACTTTATTACTAGAGAGAGATTTTATACAAAAGTCGTTTTTTGGGTACCTCTGTCCCATTTGTTTCAACCAACAGTTGTGTTTGCATGGTTGTGTTACGGTTTGATGGTTGGGATATGGTAGTGAATTTACAGGGTACAGAGGAATAACACCTGAGTCTTCAGGAAAGGCAACATATTCATGGGCAAAACAGTATACTCTGTTATGTCAATGGTACTGCTTATGTTTATATGTGATGGTGTATCACTTTCCATCAGATGAGCCATCAGCTTGTTTGCCATTCTAAGTTGTATAAAAAAATATACACAAAAACTGCAAACAGAACTATGTATATATTAATATGTTTTCATTATCAATAGCTTTGTGAAATAAAAAAAATATATTAATTCATTGTATACCAGGAAACGAGACGTCGTCAGCAAGTGGAGGCTGCTGAGCGCAGGCTAGCTGAGCAGGCGGCCCGAGGAGTTAAGGATCCAGAACGGGTGAAGCGCATGCAGCAAAGGTCAGAAGAAATGGAAAAACGAGAGCAGGAGTTGCAGAAAGATGGAGGTCCTACATTGAGGGTAAGATGCTAACAAAAGTAGTTTATCTAATTATTTGTTATTCTGTATTATTAGAATGGTATATAATTAGATTTTACAATAATAATTTAATAATTTAATTAAATAAGGAAAAATTATTTAATATATTATATAAATTTTTTAATGCGTTATAATGAAATGTAACCTCATTTTACACTATTAGTATACACTGGCAGGTAAGAGATGATAGGTGATAATAAAAGCAGACTAGTAAGCCTATCATAATAAATTTGACAAGTAATAACCAAGATGATTTCCAGGGTACCTGCATCAAGGTCGACCTGATAGATAGTATATTGCTAGGGCTATTAGATCTCCATTACTAACAATACCTTTTCTCCAGTCTTAGTTTAGCTGTATAATTTTTGTCTTTTGTTATAGAATATTGTTACAAATTTAGAAACAATTTTAATTATTCTTTTTAAAAAGGATTTATTTCCATATTGATCCTATATTTATTTTGTCGTTTTCATGTCATGAAAAAATTAAAAAAAAAGAAGAAAATTAAGTAAAGAGCAAATCAGTTTGCTGTTTATTACATTTTGACAATAAAATTATTTTTTAAAATATTACAGAAAATTAATTTAGTTTACTGTTAGTAGACTACAGAGAAATGTGTAGAAGTATTATATAGACAATTAACATGTATTTTTTTTTCAGTGGACATCTGAATGAGACGAGGAACCGTTGGTTGGCAACCAGTCAAAAGCTGAAAAATATAGATATAAGAACTGAAAGAATTTCAGTTAGCCATTAGATCAGTGTTGTCTCCATAATTCCATATTTATTGTCAAATGCTTAAAACTGAGATATCAGGCTGAGAAAAAAACTTTTTTTATTTGATGTGTTAATATGTAAATATAAACAATAGACAGTTTAGTAAACCTACTTTGTATGAGTCATATAATTTAATCATCATCATCATCATCATATAGGCCTTTAACAGTCTACAGCTGAATATTATCCAGATTAGCAACTGCAGTAAGGCTTTGGAGATGTTTTAAGAGGGAAGCTGCTGCTCATTCTGCACTCTTCCATAGTCACTGCTTACAATACCCAAAGGAACGGGTGGCCTGTTCTATAACGGAAGGACACAGGCATAATTTAATCATATTTATATAAAGCAGCTTTTTATTCATCATGTCTGCCAAGAAAAATGATAATAATGGAATCGAGATCTAGACTGTGTTAGTAGTATTAACTGATAAGACATCATTGCTGGCAGAAAGATGAGGATGACCTTAACACAGTTGGCTCATTGTGAAGAATTCACTAGGAATTAATCTTTGTAGTTATAGGAACCACATAGATGTTAACCAGGCAGGATATAGTGCTAGCAATGTGGATATATTACTTACAATTCCCTCTGATTACTAAACTTGTATAGGAATGTATTGTATATTTTATAAAATACCTATCTAGGGACCTAACGTTGTATAATTTGTGTATTCAATTAAAGTTATAGTGAGGCTTTATTTATATGTTGTTGTAAATCAGTGTGTTAATGTATTTATATATGTGTGTGTAACTTTTATACTATGAAGTATCTCGTATATGGCTCTACCAAAAAAATATATTAATATGTTTAATTAAAAAAAATATATCAACAATAAAATAACAATGGAATACTTAAAATAATTGTGTATAAAATTATCTATATTGGATGACCAAATATTTTTCTCGAATTCTTCTACATTTAAGTCATTTTGAAAGAATTAATAGATCCACCAATCGGTGTTGCCACTTGCCTTTGATAATTTGATACAAAAAATATCTTTTATAGTAAAGTTTATAAATACAATGTTTCTGATACATTTTTAATTTGTCGTCTAAATGGCTTGGTGTGACAAAATTAATTTGTATTTTTGAAAGTATTATATTATTTTTAAAATTTAATTAGAATATGTAATTCTAATCAGGGCTATTTCAGTCCACGCTCGGTAACAGGAGAGTCAATGGTTATTTCGAATTTTTTATAGTATAGTACCCTGAAACTTCATCTATTTAACTTATTGTATGGATAGCAAATAAAATGTCATCATATCAGCTATTCACCAGTCAACATAGACCTTCCCCTATCAGTGGATTTACAAATAGTTGTCACACTTGGCAGGCAGGTTGGTAACTGCAACTAGGCTTTGATGTTTTAAAAGGGACGCTGCTGCCCATCCTTTGAGCATTAAGATCTTTTAATCATCTCTTAGGATACCTATGGGAAAGGGAAGGGTGGCTTATTGTGTACAGGGACCACACAGCCATGTGACATTTTTTACCTGTATTAACTTATTTTTAGTATTATAATTGGATGTCTATTAATTTTAATTATAATAAGAATGTTTTACAGTGCCCGCAGCGACGAGTATTTTGTCAAATCAAGCCATGTTACTTAGGACATATGCACTGACTAGTTATGTAAATATTGTATTAAGTGTTGTACTGCTGGATGTTGGCACAACACCAGGCTTTGATATTTATTATAATATGTGGATATTGTTGTTTATATGAAATAAATGTTCTATTTAATATAATATTGTGTATGATTTTCTTTATATCCTACCTAATATTATAAAAAAGAAAGTTTGGGTGTTTGTAACCTAATAAATTTTGGGGGAAGGGATTGTTAGTAATGAGGATTATCAGTCCCATTGCTAGCAATATACCCTATCAGGTCGACCTCTAGATGGTCTTCCCCTAGATCGTGTTGAATTCTAGGTGACCTGTTTCATCCTCATTTATCACCCCTCAATGGTGTCCCACCAGCGTATACCGTTACCGCAGGCGGGGATACCATTCCATTATCATCCATAAAAAAAAATTTGAATAATAATAATAATAGTAATTTATTTGCTCGAAATGTGGTACAAAGGTCTTAAATGGTAACTGAGCTACACATTTCGCCTTATCTGAAGGCATGCAAATTTTGTCTTAGCACATGTTAGTTTTTAGTGGCAAACATTTGAAAGTAAAAATTTATCAATTACGTATGTCCAAATAATTCTAAATACATATTAATTGTTACATTGAATTAGTTATGTCAACATTTAAATGAATGAATGTAATTTTGTATAGACCATACTTTATTTATATTAATATGATATATATATATATATAGGGTATTATATTAATTAACGCGGACGAAGCCGCGTTTTAATAGTAGTGGTTTATAATTTGCATATTCGCGTTTTTTATACAACGAGAGTAACTTTCAAGTATACGGTTCGCCTGATGGTAAGCGGCCATAACAGTCTATAATTTTTTTATAATAATACTAGAGATAATACGCGTTTTCTTTTCTTAAATATCAATAGTTTTTTTTAATAGGTGATAATGGAATGGTAACCCCATCCGCGCTATCGGTATACACCGGCGGGACACCAGTGAAGGATGATAGATGAGGATGAAGTAGGTCAGTTAGACCATTGTGATGAATTCAACAAGAATTGTTCATGATGGTCTTCAAGGGGAACCACTTGGAGGTCGATAGGGTATATTGCTAGCAATGGATGTCGAAGCTCCATTGCTAACAATCTGTCCCCCCCCCCCCCCCGATTCGTTTACTTAAAGTTTATATTGCATTATAAAGTTTGATTCGTTAGCTTTTTTACTTCTGCTTTATATTATAATAGATTATCTAGTCATGCTTAATGTACAGAGAAACAAATTTTAATTTTAATACTTATTTTTGTTACGTTGTTTAGTACCTTTCAATCCTTTTCTAGCGATATGAGTTTCAAGAAACTAAACGCTTTGACATTTCCTTTGATTTGACAGTCATATGATTGTCTTCAAAATACCTATTAAATAATTGAATTTTTAAAGTTCTCTGTGTTTACATCTTAATTTGTGTTATTATTAGATTTTATATACTTGAAGGAATTATGTCTGATACGAGGGAAGCAGATAAGAAGGTGAGAAATAGTATTATCAATATTATTATTGAACCGCGCCACTTGATAGCATGTAATCGTCTGTGACGATTTATGTGTCTCCAAATAATTTATTTATTCAAATCGATCTTGCTAAGTTTTAGAGGTCAAATATGGGTCAAAACTTCACAAAAAATATACATAAATTAATTAATAAAATTGTGTTCCGTTATAAAACTTAAATTATATTTCGGTCTGTGGGTACAATAAAATTTAAATTAGTTTTAAATAAGTTTATACAACAACGCCATAGGTGACTATTTTATATAGCAAATTTTTTTTTTTTTACTTTAGGTTTAGGCAATAATGTATTCAGCCGTTTATGTAATTCCTTAAATATATAGGTATTACTAATTAGAATTTATAGTATAATTACAATTTATTTAAATAAAAACTTCTTAGATAAATATTCTACAATACAAATACTTAACATTGATATTGATGCTAATTTACTTTACATGAATTAATTTTATATATTTAAAATGAAACAATAGATTTGAAAACTCATTAGTAAGTTTCATTTGAGGTCAAAAAGGATAAGATTTATATACTTTTTTGTGTGTACCTTCATTAATTTTGAACCTATAATTTAAGGACCAATATTAATTTATAATTTCCTATTATATTATTGTATTTATTCCATACTTATTTTGTATTTAATAATTACTTAAAGTGTTCTACAAAAAAAAAAAAAAACTTAAATTGTGGCAAAACCAGTTATTTTAATTTAAAAACTAAACTATTGAATTTATTTTGATTAAATCTCTATGGCACCTATCAATAAGTATAACCTTTTTAAAAAAAAAATCATATCTATTTACAACTAATGGAGTTATGAGGTAACAAATAAAAAAAAAACTATTGAAATGAGAACCTTGTTCTTTTTAAAGTGGGTTGAAAATGTAGTTTTTTTTTGTTAAAATATGTTATATTAAACATAAACAGAAAATGATGGTTCTTTAAAATATATTTAACAAAAAATTCAATTAAAATAATTATGTAATGTGTTCATTAACATCTGCAATCAGTCTCAAGCTATGAGTAGATTTTTATAAATAGAAATGGTGTATGGATGGATGTTTCTCTAAGCAGTCTTTTTTTGTATTACTTTTTTTTTATTAAGGCCACCTTTTGTATCACTTCACATTATTACTGTATTTATTATTATTTTACTTGGTGCAATAAAGTGTCAAATAAATAAATAGATATAGGTACTAAGTGATGTAATTTTGGCACATGTATAGAAAGTTATTAAAATTATGAAAAAATCTTTCATATTGTAAATTTGTGCTATATTAACATGTTAATATCCTAACTTTTCTGTTACACCTTTGCAATTATAAAGTTTTAAGCTGCTTGCCTAATCAGTATGGCTTAAAAAAGCATATTTATGTTATTATATGCTTAAATAAAACTAGTTGCACTTTCTTTCCACTTATTATTTGTTCATTTTTTTTTTTTTTTTTTTATAGAACTTAGAATGGCAAACAAGCTGACGGCCCACCTGATGGAAAGTGGTAACCGTCGCCTATAGACATGAGCAGTACCATGGACATAACAGAGTATACTGTTTCGCCCATGATACCCCCCATGCGTTGCCATTCCTGAGGACTCAGGTGTTATTCCTCTGTACCCAGTAAATTCACGCCATATCCCTATGCATACTAACATTAGATATTAATTAATTACAGGAGTATAATGACAGATTGCGTCCAGCGGTGAGTACTATAGTATAAAACTCTTTTCTAGGATAATAGCTATACTAATATACTGGCCTATATATAGGATGGCAGTGAGTGATGATAGGTGAGGATGAAATCAGGTCAGTTAGCCTGTCATGACATGTTAACCACTTAACAGTTTCCAGTGTTTTTTTTATGGGTGATAATGAAATGGTAACTCTCGCTATACACCGGCGGGGCAGTGAAGGATGATAGATGAGGATGAAGCAGGTCAGTTAGCCCATTGTAATGAATCCAACAATAAATCAATCACGTTTCCAGGGGGAACCATGAAGAGATCGACCTGACAGGGTATATTGTTAGCAATCTAATCCCCATTATTAACAATCCCTTCTCCCCCAGTTTCCAGTGGTAATCCCACGGAGGTTAATTTGACAGAGTAAGTACTACATAGTTGATCTATGAAATTGGAATGATTGCTAATAATGGTATGAGGAGTGGTAAATAGTGTTGTGTAAATGTTCAAATAATAGCAGTAAATTTTAATAAAGTTAATCCTTAAGACAACGGTTTAAGGTTCAAAGTGATTGAGATTTGATCAATTTGTACATTCTGAAATTTGGGCCCATAACTTGTGAACGTTTTACTTCTCACAATTTTGTTTCTGTCTTTCCAATAATAATAATACTTGGACATGTTACCCAGCACTAACTAGTTTAAATATGCTTACATTGCAATGATGCATGACAGTAGTTTCCATAGTAACTCTATGTCGCCGAACTACAGTTGGGGGGGGGGGGGGAGGGAAGAAATTGTTGGTATATAATTGAGCAATGGGTCAGTTATTAGCCTCATAGCTAACAATATACCCTGTCAGGTCGATGTCCCCGTGGTCCCCCTGAAACTTCCATGCTGAATTCCAGGCGTATTCATCACGGTGGGCTAACTGATCTGCCTTTCCACGGGGGAGAAGGAAAGGGGGAAAGAGAAATTGGATGACAATGGGATTTTTATTCGCTCACGCTAAAGATAGATCGGAGACACAATGAAAATTCTGTTTTCAACACATGGAGATGTAATCCAAGCAATAATGTAAATATATGTCTTTCCCTAGATGATTGATAGCAGGTCGACTTCCACGCACTCCCACCAGAAACATCGTGATTAATTCCTAGTAAATAAGTCGCGATGGATTAACAGACCCGCTTTCATTTTCACCTGACATCCCTTACTGGTGTCTCGCCAGCATATACCGATAGTGCAGATGGGGTTACCACTTTATTTTCGTCATTAAACAAAAATTCAATCAATCTGGTCGTCTCTGTGCCCGCCAGATAGTGTGGGCGGGCGAGGTAGGGGCTTCGGGGCGTACCCCTTTGCTCCGGCTTCAACTCCGGAGGCAACAACCTCCGGGTCACTTGGTTTTAAGCCGACATACACGGATGATCTGTGCATGACGGAGCGGCGTCATCTTAAAAAAAAAATTTACCGCGTGTTATCCACTCAATGCCCGCGCGCTGTCCACGCATCTCCGCTCTGCACTCTGACCAATCTTATTTACCAGCCGGCGTCACTTCCAACAAAAAACCTATTTATGTATGAAATCTGTGTAACCAGTTAAAGAAAATTTTAAATTATTAATTAACAATAAATTTAGATTAATAAATTTAGACCTTATTTTCCGACGGTCGCAGGTTCGATCCCAGCACTATACAATCATTTATGTTTATGAATATATAATATTTGTTCGTACTGGTCTAATTTATGTATTTAAAAAATATCTATGTATTTAAGTATTTCTATCAGTTGTATAGTACTCATAGTATAGGGGGGAAAGGGATTGTTAGTAATGAGGTCTAATAGCCCCATTGCTAATAATATACCCTCTCAGGTCGACCATTACGCGGTTCCCCCTGGAAACCATCATGGTTATTTCTTATCGAATTAATCATGGTGGGCCTACTGACCAGCATTCATTCTCACTTCTGTCCCATTCGTGTTTCAACCGTAAAGTAGTTGTGTTTGCATGGCATTGTTTCGGTTTGAAGGGTGGGATATGGCGTGAATTTACTGGGTACAGAGAAATAACACCTGAGTCCTCAGGAATGGCAACGCATGGGGGGTATCATGGGCGAAACAGTATACTCTGTTATGTCCATGGTACTACTCATGTCTATAGACGACGGTTACCACTTTCTATCAGGTGGGCCGTCAGCTTGTTTGCCATTCTAAGTTGTATAAAAAAAAGCACGGGCGGGGTTACCATTCCATTTTCACATATTAAAAAAAAGTACTCATAGTACAAGTTTTTCTTAGTTAGATACTAGATGGCGTTGGATAATGTGTCCAGTATGGTGTTATTATTATTAAGAAAAATATTAATCGCTTAATGTTTGTTGTGTTGGGAAATAATACTATTTCACTCGTTAGTTCAGAGGCCGGCCGGCGCTTGATAGCTTATCATCATTTAGTGGCGTACAACAATAATTTTCTCATTTATAGTTGAAGTGCCGTCTGCGTGCGCGCACTATTTCCGATCGCTGACAATACGGTGGTAGTGTTGTGATATTGTATAATGGATTTGCTCAGTAAGGTAGTGTTTTTTTTTTTTTATTTTTCGTTATAAAGTATTAGTTTTATTCCGTACAATTCTCTAAAGATTTTAATTTTTTAATAATTTAAACAGCTATATTAAATACTGACTTTGATTTTTTATTTCTATTTTATAAATAAATTCATAAATTATTAATATAAATTAATAATGTCGAACGTGTTAGTTTTTTTTTTTATTTTTTTTTCTCATTTGGTATAATTGTACAAATAAGTTCTAAAACTTGAGAAAACGTTTTAATAATATGGTTTTATTCATTTCTGTATTTGGGCTATTCAAATCGCATCTAAAGAATGTTGATGATTGACCTCTCACAATGTTGATGATTTATAATTTTATTTATTTATTGATATCTATCGGTGTTTTCAATTGTATAGACATTTATTTATTTATAACATTTAAGACGATTGCAAGAGCTCCACCGACAAGAGCGCAGCTCTTAAATGGATAGATAGATAGGTATATAACTATGAATAAACTGTCAGTTTATCTTATATTGCGTTTGCTGGAAGAAATCTCTTTTAGAGATAAACTCGCCCTTGTACACTATTATGTTTAATTATTATTCTGATACCTTTTTGTGTACAATAAAGAATATTTTAGTATCTCCAAGTGATTATTTAAGTGATTTTTTTTAATGGCTGATAATGGAATGGTAACCTCGCCTGCGCTATCGGGATACGCTGTCGGGGCACCAGTGAGGGATGATAGGTGAGGTTGAAGTCAGGTCAGTTAGTCCATTGTAACAAATTCAACAATAAACCAATCAAGTTGGTTACCAGGGGGAACCGCGAGGAGGTCGACCTGATAGGGTTTATTGCTAGCAATGGGGTTGCTAATCCCCATTACTAACAATCCCTTCCCCCCCGAGTCCATGAGTTGGAATGAGTCACCCGGCGTTGCTATCTCATTCTGTCTCCCGGACAAGTGATTTAAGTGATTAAGTGATTTCAGAAACGTGGAAATTGTACCGGTAACCATAAAAAAACATAAATAAGGGAACTTCTTCGTGTTTTTGAAGTAGGTTAGAAATTTGTTAATTCAAAATAAGACCTAACGTATTAATACTACAACAATAATACATATCTAATCGCTTAACACAAAAACCTATTTCTTCTAGTTATTTATTTTATTTCGATAAACGTAAGTCAAGCTTGTTTACTTTGTTTACGAAATATCTCAATTATATCCTAATTACTACTCGCCATAAATTAAAATTTCATTCCAACCACCTGGACGAGTGTCTTCCACCGTGCGTTTTTCACTTGTGGCACTGGCACTTTCTTTCACGTACAACCATTCTTTGGAATCAATTTCCAGCAGCCATATTTCCGAATCGATACGACAACATAACCTTCAAGAAAAGAGTCCTTCTTAAAAGGCTGGCAGGACACTTGTAATGCCGTTGGTGTTGTGGATGATCATGGAGGGCGGTAGTCGCTTACCATCAGGTGAGCCGCATGCTCGTTCGCCCCCCGTGTTGTAAAAAATTAAAAAAAAAAACGGACAATCCATCAGCTTTTGGCGTGCTTTTATTCGACTTCAAAAAGAAAGAGGTAATACAATTCGGTTGTATTTTTTTTACGTTTGTTACTTCATAACTCCGTCAGTTGTAAACCGATTTGGAAAATTCTATTTTTTTTATCTGAAAAGGGAAACTTACAGTTTAGTCCCATGGAAATTTTATCAAAATCGGTCGCATAGTTTAGTTTTTAAATCAAAACAACTGGTGTTTGTCACAATTGAAGGCTGTTTTTGTTTTGTGGAACACAATCTGAATTATTTGTTACACCTTAGTAATTGAACTGCTCGACTGATCGTCATTAAAATTTGCTAGACGTAGTGTTTGAGACGTATAGTTTATTTCAATAGTACTTAATAAAAAAAGTAACCAATTTTGTTGAAATTATCACAGGAACATTCTTTAAATAAAATTATTAACAAATGGAAACTTCAAACTATTACTTTCTTTCACGTACGACTACGCTTTGGAATAGGCTTCCAGCAGCAGTATTTCCAAAAATAAAATATAAAAATTATATATATATATATATATATATATATATATATATATATATATATATATATATATATATATATATATATATATATATATATATAATAATTTATCTGCTCATAAGACAGTCTGATGATACTCAACAAATAGTTGTATCAGCCGATAACCGTCATCGGTATACACTAGCGGGGCACCAGTGAGGGATGATAGATGAGGAGGAAGCAGGTCAGTTAGCCTATCGTGACAAATTCAACAATAAACCAATCAAGATGGTTTCCAGGGGGAACCGCGAGGAGGTCGACCTGATAGGGTTTATTGCTAGCAATGGGGTTGCTAATCCCCATTACTAACAATCCCTTCCCCCCCGAGTCCATAAGTTGGAATGAGTCACCCGGCGTTGCTATCTCA